TTTTTTGGACATATTTGGTTATCTATAGATATGCGGTTTTCTTGTTCATTCATTACACTTTGTACATTAAGGTTATTGTATCGATCTCGATAAGTTAAAGTTTGGACCAGTTGAAAATAGACGTGTACAGATCACCTTCACGTAATTTTTCATGCTACACATTTCATGATGAATCCATGTCATTTGGTTATGTCGGATGAGTAATCTTGTTGATTTTAGTTGCGATGATGCAATAAAAAGTCTGGTTTGGTTCTATATCCCGATATGATTAATGGACAGGACTTTTGGAATATGCTAAAGGAATATAATGACAATTTTGAGCTCATAAAGTCTAACACATTTGTAAGGTTGTAAAGACATATATATTTGTGACCAGTGGGAGATTGTTGACAAATTTTGGGTCATGTATATATATGATACATATTTAAATGTGTTAGGATCATTATTTATTAAGCCAAATAATAAAGTGATCTGACTAAATTAAAGTTTTGGCTAAAGGCATATGTCATGAAAATAAAATTGTGTAGAGACCATAGAGCAATTTCTAATTTGATGAGGGCCAAATTGGAAATACTAAAACTTAAGTAATTAACCTAATTCTGGTTATCTAAAGGGTCATGGTCCCCTTCTGGGGCACACACGTAATCAGTCCCGCTCCTTTCTTTCTATCCCCATCAAGAGAGAAAATCAAGAGGGAAATACAGGTGCTTCTTCGAGTGAAAGACCATAAGATCAATATAAGTGCTCTATAAAGACATCATCATTATGGTTAATTCAGTGACGCTTCGCATTCAGCTTACAACATGTTTATCAAGTATGGGATTATGTTTATGTTTGATTGTTAGAATCAAAATCGGGATTATTATTATTGTTATTGTTTTTCCAACATTTTTATGTTATTACATCTTTCCTAAACAATTATGCACGACTTATTATAATAATAATAATAATAATAATAATAATAATAATAATAATAATATTATTATTATTATTATTATTATTATTATTATTATTATTATTATAATAGTAATATTATCAATATATGTAGGTTATTATTATAATATTATGGATAGGTACTTTGATGAACGTCATATTGAATATTTATTATTTTTGGTAATAAACCACGTAATAAGTATTGGTTAACCAAAGAAGTTTTCTTTTTGCTATCATACTTTTCTTATCACTATTTTCATTCTTTTCCTTTTAACCTTTATTTTTTTTTTCACATAAATGCTTAATTTTAAAAGAATTTGTCTTCTAATTCATTTTTATTACACCTTCTTACCATGACTTATTATGAGTCTTAAAAATAAATAAACTCTTGTTTTTTATGGATTAGACTAATTCACTAAAATATGGTTTTTTTTATGTTAATTAAATTTAATGAAAATAGATTTTGACTAATGAAACTAAAAGGTCAAAATAATATATAATATTTATCCAATATTCATATATTGGAAGATGTTTTTTAAATTATATTTTATAGAACTTATATGAAATTCATTAATTATAATTTTGTGAATCTTAAAAAGTGTCTCTTTTAATTAAATAATTAATATCATTAATTATTTTCAACTTCACAAGTCAATTTTTTTAATAGTTTTTGAAAAACGAATTTATTCTTTTATATTTAATATTAATAAAAACAAAACTAGAATAAATTTAAAGGTCAATTTTTTTTAAGAATGTTATTAAACTTTGAATTAAATAGGTTTTATTTATTATTAATTAATTTTCCCTATTACATTTTTATAAGCTTCAATTATTATCGATTAAGAGAATTGTCATTGGCAGGATTCAACCAAGACCTTAGAATAAGAGACTAATACTCCAACCACTAAGCTACCAAATTTTTTTGATAATAATTTACAAATAAATTATATTTATATATTTATATATTTATATATTTATATATTTATATATTTATATATTTATATATTTATATATTTATATATTTATATATTTATATATTTATATATTTATATATTTATATATTTATATATTTATATATTTATATATTTATATATTTATATATTTATATATAAATAAATATTTATTTTTTAAAATTATTTAATTTAAGAAATTATTATAAATTAATCTAATTATGATTAAATTAAATTATTAAATAAAAAAATATTTAATTTTTTAATTAGTTGAATATTTATTGATAGTTAATTTACCGACCGGATATATCCGTCTGTAATTTACAGATAGATTTACCGACGGATTTATCGACGGATATATCCTTCGGTAATTAATTATTATTTTACCGACGATATATCCGTCTGGTAAGATCAAATTCCACAAATATTTTATATCCGTTTGTAATTTTCGTCTCGTAATAATTATTTTCCGACAGTATACAAATCCGTCAAGAAATATCCGTCGATAATACGCGATTTTCTTGTAGTGAATATTTCTCTATAAATTTAAAATAACAATCAATAATAATAATATTAACAATAGAATAAACAACACTATTTTTTATGATATATTTAATTGTTTATTTTATTAGATGTCAAAAATTATAAACATATACATGATTTAAATAAAAGTGACGAGTGTCTCGACTCTCGTGATTCTCATTAATTAAGCTAACTTACTAAGATATCTATTTTATTATGACTTCTAAATAAGGATAGGTTAGATAAGTTTGATTATTATGCTTTAAATAAAAATGTGACACTTACCACTCTACCCAACTTAAATATTAAGTGAATAATTTTTTTTTACTCATAATTAATTTTACATTTTTTTTGTTAACCTCATTTCATTGAAACCTATGAACTAAGTTAGCTCATTGGATAAAACTCACATTGCAATCCCTATACCTAACTTCTCTTTTGTTATTTATCACATATTTTTATACCAATATTTTTTTTTTGTATATTTAAATTTAATGGAATAATATTAAGAGTTAGAGGATATTTTGTATTGATCTAAGTGGAAATGGAAATGAGATTTATTATGTGAGAAAATATTTCATGCACATTCAAACTACTTAATATATATATATATATATATATATATATATATATATATATATATATATATATATATATATATATATAACTTTCTGAATAGTAAAAAATGGTGTCTTATAAGATATTTGTAAGACTTTAGTATCACAATTATATTAACAATTGATATAATAAGCAATATTTGATCAATTGAAATAAATGCATATTTTTAATGTCACATAAATGTGTGTCGACGATAAAATTGACATAATAAATTAAAATATTGGTAATTTCTTTTTATAATTTCTATATTATTTAGACCCATATATACATTACAAAATCCACATAATAAATATTAAAATATTTTGCTTCATTAAGTTCACATTCCATTAAAAATCAAATATAATTTGTTTTTTCTTCTTCTTCATTTTTCTTTGTATCAGCCTATCATTATTTTTTTTTTCATTTTCCATTTTGTTCTTTCAAAATAAATTGTCATATTTAGTTATTTTTCTTTTACTTTTTTTCATGCAAAAAAAGTCAATTTCGCATTTAATTAAATTAAATTAATATTTGCACGAGGGGACTGAAACATTAAAAATATTAAACCTACGATGCCCAAAATATTTGTTAACCTTAGTTGAATCTTCACACTATACTACCATTAAACTATTAACCAACTTGACACTTGCATGGTGGACCATTAATTATGGTTTAATAGTAATTAATTAACCATGTTTACAAGTAGTAACACCATACAAGCATTAATAGGTGAACATGTTTATCCAATATAGTATATTTTATTTTATTCATGTATAGTAGTTTATTTATCTTAGCTAAAATGAGATCAAAGTAGTCCATTATAACTTCGAACAAGATTATATATTTTTAGGGTAAAGAGTAACGTGAAAAACTCTTCCACCAGAAAAGAATTTTAAGTTATTAAAAGATATACTAATTTAACAATAAAGGGTATAATTTGTTCATTATATGAAGGATATAATTTATTCATTTAAGTGTCTAATTCCAAATTATCGTCTTCAAGTAATGACGAATCTAATAAGATCTAAATTAATAGGGATAATTTTCTTTTCAAGTTAAATAATGTATTTATATACTCTAAGTATAAATCTATTACAAAATAATGAGTCAAACTATATAAGATTAGAAAGTAAAATAAAAAATTTTGGGGATACTTAATAATAATTTTAACAAATTCATATATATATAATTCTCCTTCAATTTTTCCATCTGAAAGAAAATATGGTGAAAGAAAAATTGGTAAAGTTGATGAAGTAAAACAGTGTAAATAAAATAAAGAAAAAAAGAATCATAACCATCCATTTTAAATGTTTCATGTCAGGTGTCGGTTAAACAACTCTGAAAACAGTGCATTCTCCACCCATATAATTGCATTTTGTTCCATATACTTTTTTTAATTAGAACATCTTGACTAAAATGAATTGATGTGTAAATAATTTTTTATTAGAACACATTCCTTTAATAAAAGTTCTTGAAATGATATGCATATAATTTGTAAAAAAGGAAAAATGTTACGAAACAAAAATCATGCTTTATTTTTTGGTTTTTTACTGGTAGTTTTATATTACAGAACTATTTATACATGGCCCCCACATTCCTTGTAGCAAAAACTAATTTAGCATTGGTTATTTCCTTCAAAAAATATCAATGAGTTGTGGACACAATTGGTTTGTACGGAAATAAATAATACCAATTTGATTTTGAAAACATGGGGACTCATTAATTATAATTATTTATTTAATATAAATTCATAGTTGTTACTCATCATCGTATTCAGATATTGTTGAAAAAAAAAGAAACTTAGAAATTAAAAAAAAATATTATTCTGAAAAAGAAGAAGTATAGAACAATAATTAGATACATGTAAAGAAACAATGAAGCATTGAATACAAAAAATCAGTCTGAATCAAACCCAACAGAGTTCCTTTTGCGCGAAGAAGAGAAAAGAGATTCACGAAGAAAAATCGAAAGACACAAAACATGCAGAGCGAAGTTTTCTCAAAAGAGAGCTCCCATGCAGATCAATCCAATTCCAACGATAACTCCCAATCCCACATTCCTCTCTGCCGCACCATTACCGGAGGGAGAAGGAGCGCCGCCGGTCTTCCCAACGCTCGGAATTTCAGGGCTGCTCTTGGCAGACTTCGGAGACGGAGCCGCCGCGGGGGACTTCGCTCCGAAGAGCTCCTCCGGCAACAGAACCTTGTCGACCTGGTAAACCGCGAGGGGAAACTGCTGTCTGAGCGCGTTGTTGAGCTGCGTCTCCACGATGCCGGTGGACACGTTCACCTGGTTCCCTTGGCCGGTGAAGTTGAGCCCCCAGGAGCCTTCTCTGCCGGAGGCTTGCGTCCTGACGGGGTTGCTCACGGTCAAGAGATCGGAGAGAGAGTAGTACTTGGGAGTGACATGGTAGAGAATGAGCTGCACTTTCTGCTCTTCTCCGAGACCGTTGAGAGCCCCAGACTTGAGGTTCTGGAAAGCGTTGTCGGTGGGCGCGAAAACCGTGAACCCTTGCGAGGTTGAGTTGAGTTGACTCTGGATTTGGGTTAGTTGTTGCGTGTCTTGGAGGAGTTTGATTAGGGTTGTGAACTGGCCACCTTTAACGAGGATGGCAGTAAGGTTGACATCGCCGGAGGAAGGCGCCGGGGCTTGGGCCTGGGCCTGGGCCTGAAGAATGAAGCAGAATGAACTTAAGAGGATGAAAGTGAGAGAGGTGAAAGCCATGGTTGAGTAAAAGTGTGAAGCAACAGAAGTAGTAAGAGAAGAGAAATAGTGTGGTGGTGTGTGGAGAATGGAGGGGTTTTTATTTGGTTTTGGTGTTGGTGTTAGGTTGTTGAGACTTTGTTGGCATGAGCTGGCTCGTGGCTTGCAAAAACCAATAAGAAATGGCTTATAGTTGAAAAATGAGAATCAGAAAATGCACAAAAAGTTAAAAGGGAGAGTAGTAGGAGATGGATATGTGAAGGGGACAGCTTCAGAAGAATCGTCTCTTGTTGTTAAGAAAGAGAAACAATACTATTAAAGAATGAAAATGAAAAGGGTTCACGTCAAGTTTTACATTCCGAATGAAAATGCACAAAAACTTTTCTATAATCTTCTCAAGGAAGCACGAAGTCGCGGAAATTATTTTTTCAGACAGAGATGGAGTCAAACCTAATGTTTCAAATTACAAAACTTAATGCAGTAGTTTTAAAAGCTACTATCACTCATTTCTTCCATCACACATGCACTGTGTTTCTTCAATTTTTCCTGTTTGCAAAATTCACTACCACCACTTTTCATAAAATCATGTTATACCACTTTATGTTATATATTAAAAAAAGAAGGAAATATAAAGAATGAAAATGAAACGGGCCACACCAAATTTTAATATAAGAAATGAAATTCAACGTGACTGCAATCATAGGAATACGTGGCAATTTGCAATAAATAAGAGATGAAGTCAAACCTAATACAATATAAAGTTAATTTTAAAGAACGAGTTAATTCCTGTGAACAGTTTTGTTAATTGTGTAAAGGGTGGATACATAATTGGTGGTGCGATGATTATGTGGATGATGGGCGTTGAAGAATATACATCATATGGATGGATGTACAAGTTGGGGGCTTTGGACAAGCAACAGTTGTAAAATGGTGTTTGGCAGGCTGGCATATGTAGACACAACACATGGGATAACATTTAGCACTAAATAATCAATTTCAAGACATTATTATGCATCATTCAGTGAGTATGATTGTCAGAAATACAGTCATAGAAAATCTCATTAAGCTACGCACTCACTTCACTAATACGACAAGTCTATCACTCTGCCTTCATTTGGATTAGAAACAAATTATTATTATGCCTCACACAACTCACTCTACATCAATACCAAGGGATAAACAAACAAAGTGTTGTGAACTTGTTTTCTTGTATCCCATAGTCAATATTCTACATCAATTCACATTTCAATATCTCATAACATTACATTCAAAATAATTATTATAGCCAAATGTTCTATAGTCTTATTGTTGAGACTGTTTTCTTTATTGTTAGAAACTTGTTTATCACATTGTTTGGGAAAAACTGAAAACAAGATGACCAGCCCAGGCGTATTATTGGGCTTATATTGGGCCCGATCCATGATTCGTTGACAGGTGGAAAAGATAGTGAAGCGAGAAGGCCCAAATTTTTAAGGAAAAGAGAACGGTGATTCCCACAGTTGAATGATTGTTGGTTCTTTTGTTTTTGATCTTTTGCATCCTCTCGCGGAAGCCATTTTCGATCTGTTGTGCTTTCTGGAAGGCGGTGGATGGCAAAAAACAACAAGTACGCCTCTATTAACTTCAACCACATCTACGAGAAAACCACAGCGACCAACCCTCATAATCGGAACCCTTCTCATTCCCCTTCCCCTTCCTCATCCTCCTACTCCTCCGCCTCCTATTCCGCCGTCTCCGCCCCCAACAAAACCCATGGCCGCATCCTCGTCCTAACCCGACCCACCCCCAAACCCATCACGCCTCCCACCCCGCAGCCCCACCACCCGCCACCCAGCCCGATCCACCACACCCAGTCCCGCTCCGAGCCGGGATCGGACTCCATCTCGCTCCGTCCACTCGGTCGAACCGGGACCACTTCGTCGCTCTCGTCGCTCCCTGTTCTCAACCACGACATCAAGGACTTGCCATCTCCGCAGCCCAAGACCGACAAGTTCGTGCCGCCGCACCTCCGGCCCGGGTTCGTGCCCAGGGAGGAGACTCCACCTGGGCCGGACTCGCTTCGGCCCAACGGGCGGCCCAAGTCTGGGGGTGGGCAAGAAAGGATGAGAAGGGGTGGACCTGATGCGGGGATCATGGGCCGCAGGAGTCGGCCCAGTTCCAGTGGATGGTATGTTAACGTTGTTCATTGTTTTTTTCTAAACGTTTATTTATCCAATCGTTTTGTGTTGAGAGCTGTTGTTCCAATAGTTTTGTGTTGAGAGCTGTCCTTTTGTGGTGGTACACCATTGACAATTTTGTTCAATCCTTTTGTTTACGTGGTCTATGTATGTATGATTGGATTTTTACTTTGATGATGGTGGTAGCTAGATGAGAATTTATCTTGGCTTTTTTCAGTGTTTGGACATGTTATATGTTTGGAGGGAGTGACTTGGAGAAAAATATAAAGAAAATTGAAATCAGTTTCTCATTAAATTTAAGTTTACGATCGTTTGTTAATTTGTAGTAGCTATTTCTTATTAGATTTTTTTCAAAATCTGATTTTTAACTCATTAATAAGTTTATTTTGAACGAAGTTTTATATCTTAAAGATGAACAGAGTAATAGAAATTTCTTAGGTCTTGTTTGGATTAAAATTTTCAATTGATGGGTAGAGGTTAAAATGAAGTAGGCGTTTAGTTTTCTGGAAGTTCGCTAATCTAATAAGTTATTATGTGTCTTAAGGTGATGAGAGTGAAAAAATTGCTCTATAAGAAGAACGGAAGTTGTTTCTATTCACGGTTCTTCGGTTTGTTGATGTTCATGATGGATCAGGTAACTTGAGAATTGTGGGGTGGATGGCATGGAGAAAATTTTACTGTGATCCACTAGTACTGTTCTGTCAATGAATCATATAAAAGAAACATGTTGGAAGGACCGAGGCTACAATTTTTGAATCAACAACATATTGACTGTGACTTGTCTGTTTATTTTTTTACCTTTTGGTTTGGTTCTTCATTAATTCTTGAGTTGAGCATATTTGAAGGAACAACTTATAGATTATGACTGTTGGATTACCGTATTGGTATACTTATCATGGTGCACATAAATTATGCGTTTATGACCATTTGTCTTTAAGGTGGACTTAGATCATGCAACCTTTTTTATTCTTTATATAAATTCCTTAAATAATGAATTAGGTTGGTAGATTATCTTCTAAATATACATCCATAAAATGCTATAAATAGATTATCCATAATGAGTAAAAGGGCAGCCTAGTACTAGGATAAAATATGTGTTGCATGGAATGAGAATTTTCAATGTTTACCTAGTGTGTGCGTGGCTTTGACAAATATGGCTTCTTATGCAGAATGGTTTTGCAGTTGAATTCTTTTCCGAGGACGAAGACGAACACATTTTGCTACAGAGATGGGTTCTCTATACCAATTCAGTGCACTTTGTCTCTCTGGAACTCTCAAATCACTGAAAACGAAAACTGACCAGGTGGCAGATTTTCAACACATAACGTCTCAACTTTTAGCCAAATTTGCTGTGCTCGTAGAAGGCTCTAACACCCAAGTTCTTGTGCTGGTGTTTGACCCTCTTTTAACACGTGCCAATAGTGTAGAATCTAAATACATATTTTCAATTCCTGGCTAAACTATTTTTCTCACTGTTTTGAAAGACATGCCTTCTGTACTTTGAACTTATGTTTTACGGAGATCTGAAAGATTTTATTGTTGTGTTGTACTTGTTGCAGCTTGAATGTTAATTGAACCAAGGTCCATTCATTCATTAGTTGTAGACCTGGGTTGTTTATTCAATTCCTATAAATGCTTTACTTATTCATATTTTCACACAAGGCTGTTAATCATTAGTGATCACAAATAATAGATTAAACACATTTTATTTTGTAAAAATGTAGATGAAGCCTACAATTATTATTGTTTGACGTTGATTGTTTCCTCAGCATGACATCTTTTTTATATATTGTTAAATCATGTGGTCATTGTCAGGTGTCATATTGGCACTTTTCTTAGCCGTCCAATTAATTGTCTACCATTTTCTTTAACATCTTTAATCTTTGTCATCCAAAGTGCTGTTTCAGGTTCAAAGACTTTTTTGTTTCTTTAGTCATTTAAACAAAATCCCGAGGACACGTAGTATTGAGTGATGATTATCCAACTAACCATAAAATATCATACTTTATTACACGCCACTTTTGGTATTATCTTTATTGTCGAATGAATTCACCTTGATTTATTCTACAATTAGGTTTAGTTTATATTTATTTTCCTATGAGTAAAATATTAAAATAGATAGACACTATCCTCGTGTACCAACGCATTGGTAAGAGGGGTGCGAGGCATAGACAGTTCAAAAATATCTTTTACTTGTAGGTCCATGGTGCGTGCATGCCCAGGACCTCCAATATCTTAAATTAATGTCATAATTATCAATGTTTTTTATACTAAATTTTATAATTTTTAAATATAACTACTGTATAAGATACTAGTTTGGAAATTTTATATTTAAATTTAATTAATTATAAAGTTAAATTACATCTCAAATCTATCATATAATTAATCTATTTTTAACATTTTGTTTTCACCTCAACCTCAAAATAGTACATTACTACAAAGAAAAATAACATATGACATAGCATATTGAGGGTTCAGTTACTTTTAAAAAGATAAAAAAAATATAATATATCAAGTTTGTTTTTTCAAAAGTCTTACATAATCGATACATAATTCATTATGCTCAAAAAATAATATAATTAATCATGCATGAAATTCTTTCTCCATCAATTGTGCAAAGTGAATAAAGATTTGTGACGAGCAAGGCCTTTCATCTCCTTTCTAAATATCTTGCGAAATGAAAAAAAAAAAAAAAAAAAAAAAGAAAAGAAGAGAGGAAGCTAACAATTAAGAACAACACAGTATATTTTAATCCTGCAACAAGTTCCTTCTGTGATTAATTCTATCTAATATTTTGCTTATTGTAGGGGTTAAACAGGAATTAATGCTCTACAATTAATTAAAGTCTTTTAAGAAGTCTTTAAAAATATATATATATTTTTATAATTGAATCATTTAAGTTTTTGTTCCTAAATCTTTTTTTTAACTTTTATATTTAAAAATTTTATTTTTTATAATTTTTTATTTAAGTTTTACTGAATACGTGATTTGTAAATAAATTAATATGAATGTCACTCTATTAAAAATATGGAAAATGGCCATCATTTAATAAAAATATAAAATATTTATTAGAGATATTAAAAGAACCTGTCAAGTCTAATTAGATTTGGTCCAAATCAATTAAAAAATTATGGAAAACTTAATCTATATTTTAAAATAGATTATAATTTTTGGATTAATCCAAATCTCTATTGATTAATGAATTAATTTTAGTTTAATTAAAAATAAAAACTAAATAAAAAATATATTTTTAAAATTTAAATTTTATTAATAAAATTAATTTTAAATTTTAATCTAATAATTTAATATATAAATTAAAAAAAATATTAATTCACTTTAAAATAAGATTCAAAGAATTTTTTTATTTAGTAATTTAATAATTTAAAATAATAATTTATCTTAATTATTAAAATCTAGAATAACTACATATACTTACTGTAATAATAAATATATTTTATTTTTATTTTAAAATTTATTATTATTTTATAAAATACGTTGATTTATACATATATGAACTAACTAACCAAGTCTATTTCGACTCGTCTTTGATTCAATTTATCTTATTTTTATTTTATCTAATTTAATATATTTTTTAAATTTGTTGAACTTATTCATAAAAATAAATCTATTTTTACATTCTTAATAATATTTTTATAAATAAAAAAAATACTATCATTTTTTATTTAAAAATATACCATTAATACTATTCATTTTGACAGGGTATGTCATTTATCGTGATTTTATGGAACATAACTATAATTTATCTAAAAAAATAATTTTTTAAATAAATTTAAATCGATAACTAATTGATTAATAAAAAGAATCATAATTATAGAATTAAAATTTACAATTATATGTTATGTTTTATTCAGCTTTTATTATTTAGTTTGTATAACCTATTACATCTATAAATAATTAAGCTAGATAGGGATTATAAGAAATTTGAATTTTTTTATTCGTTTCTCCATATAGGATTTATATTTGACTAACCCATATATAATAAAGGAAAATATAAAAAAATAAAAATAAAAACATGATAAATATTACATCGAGTTTCACTGTTTTTTTTTTTAATTTATTTTTCTCTGCCCACTGAACATATAATATCCTAATTCTTTTTCGCTTCCTTCTTTCTACCGAACAAGAGGTAAGAAGACTTCATGGTTCTGCGACTGTAAATTGAATTCCAAAATCATGAACAAACCAGACTAGCCCTACACTTGTATCACACTCACTATAACATCTCATGTATTGTAATATAACACTAAAAAACTAAAACCAAAGATTCACCAAACATTCAAGGAATATCAAATATTTAAATCTTTTTTTTTTTATCATGTATTTCTGTTTGTTTATCATCATATCCAAATAATATATTGATGTAATATAATAAATGTAAAAAGACAGAGGAAGGCAGAGATTTGAAGATAAAAGCTGTATTATGACCACAATAAAGGGCTGTTGAGGTGATGGCATATGTATCACCAACCAAAATTGAACAAAATAAAACAACGAGTGGACACAATATTCTGTTATACCGCATAACCAAGATCTTTTAAATCTCAAACAAACTATGTGGAACAGCATCCACTCTTTTTAACGGCTGAGACATCATCTTTGGTTCCAACAACGATGGTTTCCCCTTTGGGCAGGGATCCTGCAGGAGGGTCATCCACTGTCTCAAGAGTTTTCCTGCTCACAACGTTGTATATCTGAGTCAGCACTTCTATGAAAGCATTGTCCACGTTCAGGGACTCAAGGGCAGAGGTTTCCATGAAGTATATCTTCTCTTTCTCTGCAAATTCTGTGGCTTCTTCAGTTGACACTGCACGCAAATGTCGAAGATCTGCCTTGTTTCCCACCAGCATGACCACAACATATGCTTCTGTGTGATCTCGAAGCTCCTTCAACCATCTCTCCACGTTCTCAAACGTCACGTGTCGGGTTACATCGTACACAACCAAAGCACCAACTGCTCCTCGGTAATATGCACTTGTAATAGCACGATATCTATGGTAAGGTAAACACAAAAAAAGAGTTTAATTTTCAAACACCAGTCAGATATCATAGTTGGTATGCATTTATGATTTACCATCAGAAGAATGACACTCGTAAATATAGGGTTCAAGAATGGTCATATATGATTTCTACAGTTTAGATTTGCAAGTTTCGAAGAGTTTAGTAGAAGAACAGGTAGGTTACTATATATTTTATGCAGACAGCATTATTCCTCCTACTCTGAGAATCTGTTGACCAAGGTTTTATTGCAACATGTGTCTGTACAATGCCATTCTTTTCGCACATGGAAATAAACCAAAGAATATTATCAAATCACACTTCATGATTTGATAGGACTCCACCAAGCTAACAATCACTTAATTTTGTATTTGATCAAATTAGAACAATCGTGCTTCTAAATAAGATTTATCAAAATTTAGTATGATCCTAGGACTGATCTAGTAACATTTAACTGGTCAAGGAGAGGACTCTGCCTCTCCTCATTTTAAAAACTAGAGAAGTCATTATAAAGATTAATAGCTCGTGGAAATCAAATCTCCTTTTTCTTGAGAAAACATTGTCATTCTGGATTTTTGCAGTGAATTTTGCATGCATAACACATCTGATCATTTTAGAATTGTTGGATGAAAGATCGGATGACTGATATCTCATCTCGATAAATCAGCCATCTAATACACTTTAGAGATGTGAGTTGTCCACCTCGATCATCACAAATGCTTCACTTTGTTAATGCGTGCAAATTTGATTCCACACATCCCGGAGAAAAGGTGTTATTTTTCAATTGAAAAGATAAAGAAAGAGACACGTGATCCAAATTCCAAATCTACGCATCTTTCATAGATAGAACAACAGATCCTGTCAGAAAAACACTGACAAATAGAACAAACCACAACTTTTCTCATTTCTTGAAGATCTTCCCTAACCAGCACCCATATACTACGGAACACAGTCAAATCAATCCATACTCCGCCGATCAGTACCCTCATCATCAAGATCAAAATCAAGAACCCCACACAGATCCCACGATTTTCAAATGCAAAACTAAGACAACCCATCACTATTAAATTGAAGCACGAATGACACGTATATCGAGAAAGCGAAAAAGGTATGACCTTTCTTGGCCTGCGGTGTCCCAGATTTGTGCCTTGACAAGCTTGCTATCGATGGGGACGCTGCGGGTGGCAAATTCGACGCCGATGGTGGATTTGGTCTCCAAGCTAAACTCGTTTCGGGTGAATCGGGACAAGAGGTTGGACTTTCCGACGGCAGAGTCACCGATGAGGACGAGCTTGAACAAGTAGTCGTAGTCTTCGTCGGCACCCATTGAGTTTGGGTGAAGGAAAAGCAATGGATGGTGAAAGGAAGGAAATTGGTTGAAGGGAGTAAATGGGTGGGTTTTTTATATGCTGCAAATTGTTGAGCATTGTGGTTGTAGCAGACACGGATAAAGAGAGAGAATGGTGTATGTGTAGCGTGTACGAGGAAGAAAGGTATGGTTTGGCTGTTGGAGGGAGAAGTATTCAAAATGACTCTTCTCCAACTTTATAATATGAATACTATTCAACTTCACCAGACTCAGTGAGTAGTTTCTGGATTAGTTTATCATAAATTTTAAATTTTTAAAAGCTCAAATTAAAAAAATTACACGATAACGACTCAAATCAGAAATTAAGAAGAAGAAAAAACTTAAACAGCTCTGACCAGTTCAAGACACACACATAATCATTTTAATTAATTAATATAATATACAAAACATGATAATCTGAGTTTTAAAATAATGCTGTTATATGGGGTTTTTAAGTATAGGAGAAAATAATTTGAATTATATTTATAATATTTTAAACATTATTTTTTTAAAATAATGATTCAAATTGTTTTTATTTTATTTTTTTGTTTTCCAATTACTTAAAAAATTACCCTTCACAATTAATAATTAATAATTAATATATGAAATAACACTTGTATTTGTGTTGAGTAAATATAAAACTAAACACCGCTTGAGTCTCTAATTTCAGGTTCATAGCTATAAAAGAACTTGTGCAACATTTTGTTATGTTATGAATGATAAAAAAGAGAAAGTTCACCCATGTCCTGGTATAATAATACTAATATACTTTTCTTTTATGATATGGTCGTAACTTTTGAATTCCATATACTAGTGTTCTATCTCGATTAATCCATCACAAAATTTTCACCATTTTCATTTCACATTGAAGACGAAAAAGAAAGCTTAGCTAATTCATTGATGTGCCACGAAAAACCGTTTTCAATTTGAAATCCAAGTTCGTCACCATCACTTCCTCAATGTTAGACAAGATCTATCTACTCATATTTTTTGGTTTTAAAAAAATTTATAACGTAGACAAGATAAAAAAAATTTATAACATTTTTAAAAAGATAAAAAATAAAAAATTTATAAGATATTATAACGTAGACAAGATAATTTTAAAAAAATTAAATATTAAATTAAAAATTTATAACATAACATTTAAAAAAAAAAAATAAACACGCCAGATAGGGGTCGAACCTATGACTTTCTGCTTAGGAAACAGACGCTCTATCCACTGAGCTACAGGCGCTTATATATTATCTATATCAAAATAAAATTTTATTAATAGTAAAAAGTTATGAACAGTAAAATTAGTTTAAATTTTGTATAGAACAAAATTATAGTTGAAAATATAATTTTTGCCACATTGATTATAATGTTGATAAAATAAAAGTTGAATTGTTTTTAAAAGTCTTTTCATACATTATTGTTTTGCATTTTGATGTGTCCTAACTTAAGTTGGTGTGTGAGGTTGCTTTTCATGGGAACAAGAATGATGAGGATAAGAGAAGTAAAAGACATTCTAAGTGAGTTTCATTGTTTTTAATAAAAGTTTTTGTTATTTAAATGGTGTTTTTATGCTTTTTTTAACCTAGATCTCAAGGATTTATTAAATATATATTCAAATACTAACTTAAATTCTATATAATAAAACATCCCTTTTTATTTTTATATATATATAGAGAGAGAGCTTAATAACTAAGAAGGAACCATCATAGCAATAACTTCACATGATGTTGTTGCTTTTTATGTGAATTTAGACTTGAGAATCAATAATGATTCTTGCTGCTTATTTAGGTCCCAGTTAATCATAAATGACAAAAGTAGTACCAAACTATGCTTATCATGAAGGATTTGATTCACGGTTAATGACAAAAATCATGATAAGAAATTTAACGATTAGTTAGAGGGGAGAACAGTGCTAAGAAAAAACAAACATGTTGAGCGACACAAAAGTGATGATTAATGCTATTATACTTTTCTCATCACAAAATTTATCTTTAATTCAGTACAATCTTGTATGTATCAAGTAGATACATTGGAACATCATTTAGATCCACCAACAAGAAAATATATAAGAAAACGGATAGAGGGTAGAATCTGGAATACATATGTTTCAAAAGATCAATTCAAGAAGAGAAGAAAGGAGACTTAGGAGAAGGTTATAGGAATGTTACAGGATGCAAATCAAACATGAAGTCCAATTAAAGGAAAACGCATGATCTGTTCTTCTTTCGTTTTTTCTTTGGCTTTGGTGGCTGCAAAACAACCTTGATTGCAGCATCAAACACACCTTTCACATTCTGAAACATTGCAGCGTAGACATCGAATTAGTCTGAGGCTAAAATCTTCAAGCTTGTTGCACAGGTTGATAGAGTAATTAACTTTAATAGCTATTCACTATCAGACAAATGATGCTTTGTAGTGTTTATCAAATTCAATGTCTTCGGAGAAAGATACTTCAGAAACAAATTTTAAAAAACAAAACAAATAGTTCACAACAGTGGTCTGACATCTGCAGCAAAATGGCTAAAGTAAAAAAATGTTTGCACTGTATATATTTTATTCTTGATATATACTTTTTTAAGGTTAAATGATTTATAAAAAGGAAGTGCACACTATTTTGTTTATAGAACCACTTTTGTACAGTCTAAGCCTGTACATATTAATGTTAAAATTGTGTATTATCTCCATCAATTACAAAATACTTGTTAATCATAACTAGATATTTGTCCCTGGTTAGATGGTGTAAAAGTGGAATAAATAAATGGTGTGGACAAATTGGTTTTGTTTAATCCAATCTCATAAATATTGAAACTATAATTGGAACATGTTCTGCTATAACAATTTCACTGGTATAACTTAAAACCGATTATCCCCGAAGTTGAAAAACTTGGTACTATTTTATGTTGAATCTCTAGTCGGACCCTTCTAATGCAATTTGCTTAGAATGTATCTAAATCTTGTCTAGCTTTAAGCATTGAAAAATCAGAACCTGCTGAGTTTTTGAGCTGCATTCAATGTACACAGCAGCACCAATCGCCTTCTTCAGCTCTTCTCCCTGCCAAACATTTACAAGATTCAGGTATATGGAAAACAAAACCAAAAAAAATTATATGCCATCAACAAGAAAATGGTCTTTTTTAAGAACATGGAACGTAAGTTATTTGCCTGGGCAGTAGTTATAGGTGTGGCTCCAGGATGATCAATCAAATACTGCCTGTCTTCCCTCAAGTCTGCAGCCAATTATAAGAACACCGTAAATAAGAAATGACACAAACAGGTGAACTTGTATGTTGCTTAAATAATACCAAAATATCAAATAATTTTTATAGTATTAGCTGATACCAAGTTTGGTTCCCACAAGTACAATTGGCACAGTTGGGGCATAATGTCTTAGCTCAGGAATCCACTGCATAAAATGGGCCTAGTGTCAGATTCTATTGGCAGGAATTATACCATATCACAGTTCACAGACAGATATAAGATGTTATGTGTCTTTCTGTAATATTAGTATGCGTAAATGTGTTATGATAGAGGGAGAATTAAGAGACTTGCAGAAGAACCTTCTTAGAGATATTCTCATAGCTGGCTCTGCTAAGGAGGGAAAATGCCAGCAAAAACACATCTGCTCCTCTATAGCTCAAAGGCCTAAGCCTATTGTAATCCTCCTGTCCTGAATTTATGAAGCTACAATTAATGAGTAAAGGATGTAATAATAATAGGTATATCAATCAATAATTAAGGAGTTTAATTTCTACAATATCTAGTTTCAGTGACAAAAAACTTCTGTTCACCAAAATATATATATTATGCACATTACAAGTATACACCTGCTTGGTGATATAGGAACTAGCTCTTTTGTTAATCACCTAAAAAAATACATACCAGCAGTGTCCCATAATCCCAGGTTAACTGTGCTTCCATCAACCACCACATTTGCACTGAAGTTGTCAAAAACTGTAGGCACATAGTCCTGTTTTTTTTTTTTTTTTTTTTTTCAACGAGAAAGAGTGAATTTTTGTATTGACCAAGCACAACACATTCAAATAACTAAACACATCTATTGCCATACCGTGGGGAATGTGTTGCTGGTGTAAGAGATGAGCATGCAGGTCTTTCCCACGGCTCCATCTCCCACAGTGACACACTTGATGAATCTTGCTGTACTCATTTTCAAGTTCCTCGGATTTCCTCACTTCACATCACATCAAAGGTTCCTTCAACATTCTGTTGCTTTCATGACTTCAAGTTCTTGTGCTTCTTTCACTTGAAAAATTGGAAATAAAAATGAAATAATGGAGAGAAGAAGTTTGATGCTTAGAAAGAAGGGGGAGAAGGCCAGAAGGGTCAGTTTGAATTTTGAAAAGAAATGGAGGGGATGATCAGCATTTAATAAGCCAAGTTCCTCAGCACCAACTTTATTGAGCCTCTTTTATCTTGACCATTATTGCATTTGGCTTTCTGTTTCTTTAAGGGGAAGGCCAGAGCATCAAGGAGTCGTTTGGTGCTGTAGTGGTGTTAGTTGGTTAAGTATTGTACAAGGGAGAGAGTGAATAATTAGTATTTAGAACATAAGCATTCATTATCAACATTATGTTAGCCCGAATGGAAATGTACTCGTATTAAGTCTTGCAGATAAAAAGAAGATAGTTAAAATAAAAAACTTCATTAAGGTTTGTTGCTCCCGTTTCAACACACGGTAAAAACTGGAAGTTTTGACATTGCCAAACCAAAAACATGGCATCAAGTTGCAGTAAGGTGCCCCAAAGCGACAGACTCTAAATGTTGGACAAAGTGGAAGTGGGTGGATGAATTTGACACAATATAGTTCATGGAAAAAATTATTGATTTTCCAAGTCACATATCACTGCTCAAATGATGAATCAAGGTTCTGTTCTAGGCCTTGGTGGATCTATCCACATCTTTATTGGGTGGTTAGTGTTATTGACGACCCACCAATGTGTTTTTATTTTCATCAGCAAAGCAAGCTTTTTGACTTTTAATAATTCTATGTATGCATTAATAATGTGACACAGTACAATATTATTGAGCACCAACTGTGATTTCATTAATTTGTAAGCAACTAGGATTTGATTTTTCTTTTTGTAAAACAAAAGTTGAATTCTACCACCTTTCTTCCTCTTGGTTTGGCTTCTTTTTCACATTCTCCTATCTCTTGGAGTTTGTGATTTTTTTTCTCTTTTGGTCCATTTCATGCGCGTCTGACCAACTCACTTAAAGTTAGCAATTTTAACACGTTGAATGCATCATCATGTTACTGAAGAGTTTCCTTAATCTAGACATCAGCTCCAATAACCATGGCTTTAAAATGATGATTTAGTATGAAAAAACCCAGTTCAACCCTGTTTTTCTCTATTACTTTTGAATATATCTCATGAAACAACCTCTGCCATGACAAAAAGGGACAAATCATGTCCCATTTGAAAATTTAAGTTATCAATCTGCAAAGCAATATGTGGAATTATTATTATATGATAAACAGCATTACATAGTTCTTATCAGATTCAAATGTAGAACATTTTGGCAGTATAATAAAAGGCTTTTATGCAGTTTCAGAAATCAAAACCTTAAATAAGAAAAATAAATCTACTCATATTCTGCTCCTATTATTACAACACTAATTAAAACATATTCATAATTAAATCTACTCATGTTTATAATTATTTGTCAGATATTATTTCATGTTCACAATTTATTATGAGTAAAATAAAATTAACATTGCTAATAAAATTTAGATTTAACTTTTTTGTCCGTATTAATATCCTTTTATGAAATTCCTTATGAAATTGAGTGGGACTGACAATTCCCTTTAATATCATTACCTATGTAATAATAGAAATTCAAATATGAAATAAAAAATAAAATTATTAAGAAATTATTATTATTATTATTATTATTAACAACAAAATTAAAAGTTAGAGAATTATTTAAAAAAAAACATAAAGGACTACACTTCTGTGATTTATTTAAATACGTTCATATTTTTAATATTTAATTTCAATAAATTATCTCCAACTACCTATCACAGCAAATTATTCTCCAGTCACTATCCATCTCATTCTTGGGCATGTTGTTCATCTTAGTTGTTCACATTGTTTTAGAATTATTTAGAATTGAAATCAGAGTACAAATTATATCTACAATGGGCATGGTGGATGCGATGTTATGTTACATAGTTCTACATGTGACATTTATATATCCCATCGATCAATAAATTATTTGAAATTAATCGCGCAGGTTATATTTACTCTCTCTATGTTTATATATAGGAAGTAATAAAAAATAAAATAATAAATGGTAAAACTATTATCATTGTGAATTGAGGAAACAGGAATTTTAGAGAGACAAAACAATAGAAAATTCCTCTTATTATTTTAAGAAATGAAATGGGTTATCTATAAGTATATATTTTGTAATTGAACAGCTATACATAATTTAATAGTGCTTAAACAAAATATAATAATTATAATATATATATATAATAAACATGGCTAGCCACGTGTTACATATTTCTAATATTCTTACCTCGATAATTGTTTTTGAAAATTACCCTTATATCCTCACATGATATACAAAAAATGATAACTTATAATTTCTTTATTTTTAAAATAAATATCTATCTCTTTTATGTTTTAAATAAGATGATACTTGAAAGTTTTAAATATTTTTATTATATTGTTAATAAATGATATTGACTTTTGTATTCTGTTTAATAAAATAATATTTATTTTTTATTTTTTTATATATACATATATTTACATTTTTTAAGTTATGATTTTTAATTTTTATCATTTTTATTTAAAATTTAGTTAATATAATATTTTACCCCTGACCTGACCGGAATTTGTAGAATTCGCGAACTTTGGTGTGAAAAATCAGCCTTTTACTGCATCCGTCGTCTGTGGTATCTTCAGAAGCTTTCCGAGGAGAAGGAGGATTTCGGGAATGACCTTGATGTGGTTGTAGCCGTTTACGCAATGTAAATGTCGTTATTATTTTCAAAAACTTAATTGTAAGACAAAACATCTGTGGGTTTCGTTTCGTTCCAAGGTTTCATCACTCATTAACCTTCGCAGCTCTCCGCCATCACGTTCGAAACTCGCCACTGTCCCAGCACGCTGCAGCACTTGCTTTCGCTGTAAGCTCTTCATTCTTTATTCTCGCAGCTATCGCGGTTCCTGTTGGTTCTGTTCTGGATCGTCTTCTGTGTGGTTCTGTTTCTGTTGGCCTCGTTTTGTAGGTTCTGTTCTGTTCTAATGGTTTCATTTGTTTTGCTCCTTTTCTCTTTTGCCCCTTTTCTGTTTTGTTCCTTCTCTGTTCTGTTGCAGATTTTTTTTTTTTTTGCCTGTTCTACTTTGTTTTGTTGGCTTCATTTTTTTTCCTTCTGTTTCATCTTGATTATGTGCAGATTTAAAGGCTGATTTTTTTTAAAAAAAAATTCTGATGCCAATGTAGTTACTTCCTCTTAGAAGTATAGATGCTGCAGGAAATACGAAAGATATTTGGTGGAAACATGGAGGAGATGCTTTTGGCAATGGAAAAAAGTGAAATGTAATCATTGTTCAAAGAGGTACATATTGGAATTTCCATACTCAAGCATCATCTTACTTGATTAAAGTGTTCAAATGTTGAATTGATATGTTAATTTTTACATGAAATAGACTCTTTCATCGACTTTATGGAACTCTCACGAGTTTAGACTCTCGAGGTTATTACGGGGATCCAACCCGATCCTACTTGACAAGGCCCTTAAATACTTTATTGATTTCTGTTTGATATAGTTACATCTGGCTAGTTCATTTCAATTGCATGTTCCAAGGAGACTATGCTGATTCCTTACCCATATTTTGCATTATTTGCATCATAATGTTTGAACCTAGTTCTATGTTTATTCTTAATCATTCCATTGTATGTTTATAACTGTTATTCTACTTGATTCTACATTGATATGCAGATGTCGTGGCTTCTGGTCATGATGTGCTGCTTGACATGCCACATTTTTGTGATTTAATCATTTGACTTTTTTCTTCAACCACTGGTATGTTCAATTGATAGTTTCTAGTGAAACCTTGTTTCATGTTCTCCATTGTAAAGGCACCTCTCATTATATCATACAGAAAAGTAATGATATTTATTTTTATGAATGCTTGGCCGCATCTCTCAATTTGTTTTTTTCCCTCATACCCTTTTGCTCCTACTGATGTAGTAAGTGTTTTTCGGCAAATTTCCTCAGGTGTCATTTCTCTCATGTCCGAAGGTCCTCCAATACTGTATTAGCTGATCAACAATGGTGATAGGGGTAACAATGCAAAATAGATTTCTTCTTCATTTCCACCCTTTTCTGAGCCGATGTCTTTCAGCTCGTTCAGTGTCTTCATTGAAAAATCTTGAGCAGGCTGTTAGAGAGGAAGTAGAAGCCAAAAACTACGTTAAAATTCCTGACCTTTTCATTTCCTTGGAGTCCTGTCAAAATTCAAATCCTTTTTCTTTCTTTTCTTCATTTCCTCAGAACTTACAAGTGCAAATTGTTGATGAAATTTTGCAATCTTTTATACCTATTAGGCCACGTTCCAAGCCCCGGCTAGCTTATTCCTATCTTCTGTCTTACACCCTTCAAAGCTCCCATCCTTTCCCCCTTGCGCTGGCTGTCCTACAACGGACTTTACGTTCTGGTTGCCTTCCAGTTCCTCAGACTCATGTTCTCTTGTCATCTGCTTGGTTGGACCAATGTTGCGTGTCCCAATCTGTGCCTGATATTTTACTTCAGATGCAATCAATTGGATATGCTCCTGACTGTGGGACTTGTAATTATCTACTATCATCTCTCTGTGCTGTTGACCAACTAGTGGAGGCAGTTAAAGTCCTTAGGGGCATGGGTGGGGCAGGATGTATCCCGGATTCGAATAGTTATGGCACTGTAATTGGTGCATTGTGCAGAGTGAGAGAGACTGCAGAGGCGCAGGATTTGATGAAGCAAATGGTGGTGCAATATGGTTTAACCCCAGGACAGGGAACACTGGTAAAATTGTTGGCAGCATTACGGGCAAACAGGGAGATATGGAAGGCTATTGAGATGATTGAATTCCTTGAGAAAGAGGGTAACTCTGTTGGATTTGAGAGTTATGAGTTAGTGATTGAAGGGTGCTTGGAAAAATATGAGTACGTTTTGGCTGCAAAGGTTGCAACAGGGATGACAGAAAGAGGTTTTATACCATATATCAGGGTCAGACAGAAGATTATTGAAGGCTTGGCCAGTATCAATGAGTGGAAGATAGCTTGTGCTGTGAGACAAAGATTTGCAGAACTTAAATCTTAGTTGTTAAATTATTTATAGTGGGGTAAGTACAATGCTTAATGCTGATCAAGTGACTACATATTGCTAAGACTTGTGACTTTTGTATTATGGTATCAGTTCTCTTTTTTCAATGACATTACTGGAAGATTATCTCATGGTTTGTGGCAGAGCAGTGCAGCACAAGGATCTCGGATCTGCAAAACATTTGGATGTATAATCTTATGACGTCAAATCATGGAAAGGGTTGAGCATATTAATGGAACTTGCTTTGGTTTGAATTGTGGGAATAATTTTCCCACTTGGCCTACTGTAACTTTTGAAGTTATTTTGTACCCCATTCAACAGAATATGGAAATAACTAACACAAAATAACGAAATGTATACTGAATACTAAAATAATGTGATTATATTAGATGCACCTGGTTATAAATTGCTGGTTGATTTCATGTAATGTAATATAATTCGTGCTGCATTGTTCTAGTTTCTTGTTTGCTTTTGCAGAATGATCAATTAATGACTTCAAAATGGCTTAACTTCACTTATCCTTGGCTCCAATGATAAAAACATTATTCACATCACCGGTGTTGAGTGGTCCTTTGATGGGTTTACTGGCTTTAGAGGTGGTTGACTGCTATACTAAACTGGATTTTCGGACGGGTATGGTTCCACACAATGGGCAGTGGGAGAAGAGAATGGGAGAGGAAGTGAAGGGTATTTCTGAGTTTTTAACTTCACTTTTCTTGTATTTTTATTACTGTTTTGAAATGATTGTATAGTGGAGCTAAATTATTTTTTCTTGGTCTACCTGCATGTTATTAAATTGAATACAACAAATGTAGTGCTATACTTTCTTGAGCTGATATATTTCAATCATTCAACAACCTCAAGAGGTCAATTAGCCTAGTGTAATTCTCAATGCTTGATCGGATAGCTAGCCGGCAATGCCACATGTACCATCTTTATCTTTGGTATAACTAGTCATCCTAATATGGCTTCACCCCAGTTATTTGCCCATGAATTCTTCACAAGTCAGTACTTTTCACCATTTTCTTTTCCTTATCCAACTATAGTAATGCCATGATTGAGGTCCTTTCCACAACTACCAGAGAAGATACCTTAAGACTAAAGTTGAAATGCTTAACCTCCAGCATCAGTTCCACCAGAGACAGGCTGATGAGCTACTGCAGCTTTTTAGCATATTCTCATTGAGAGTAGGCACTAGGGATGGCAATTAAACCCGTACCCGTGGGGACCGACCCGTCTCCGCCCCGAGTTTGACTGGGAAACCCCGAGTTGACTCGGGGCGGGGCGGGCGGCGGGTTTTCCCGCTTTAAAAGTCGGGCAGGCGGGCGGGGATGGGTAATGCAATCCACACCCCGCCCCGTCCCGCCCGACTTTATATTTAAATTTAAATTTTAAAATATTAATATTTTAAAAGTATTTTATTTTCTTTTTCTATTACATATAAGGTTATTTTTTTATATTTCACCAATTTTTATTTTTCTTCTACCCACTTTTTAATTTTTTTTATCTTTCTCAATCTTTTATATCAATTAATTTATTATATTATTCTCTCCCTTATCTTTCAGGTTTTTCACATTTTCTTAGTCTCTCCCATCAATTTGTTTTTTTTCAATCTTTTCAACCAATTTGATGAACACAAAGTTAATCTTTTTTCTTTATCTTTTTCTAAATATTTTACATCAATCTTAGTAGTAACTAATATTAGTTTATTTATAATTTATATTTATTATGCCATATTTTTTTATCTTATTATGCTTATTTATCATATATCAAATTTTATCTTAATAAAATAATTGCATTTTAAAGGATTAAAAGAAATTAATAATTTAAACTTTTATTACTTCAAACTAATTAAATAAGAATTAACTTATTAAATATTTTCTTATTGTTAGATATTGTTTATATATTATTTGATATTGTTAAGATATTGTTAGATATTGGTAACCACAATATCAAACAATATCTTCTCGTTTATTCCGTTACTTTCGATTACTCTTTTAGTTGTATTTCTCTACTATAAATAGACTCACCCTATGTGTGATTTATACACAAGGGAAATTAATTCCAAACTATATTTTCTTTATATTCAACATGGTATCAGAGCTTAAGGTTATCTTGAATTTTTTTTTCCGCCTTTTGTCCACTGTTGGAGCCGCCCCATTATATTGCTTTGAGTTATCATCGACTGTCATTACCTTTTTATACATGTCTTTCCTCTATTTCTTCTGTGACCATTCCAAAAACTGTCTGTGAAGCTTTAGCCCATCCTGGTTGGCGTCAGGCCATGTTAGATGAACTAAGTGCTCTTCATAATAGTGGAACTTGGGAATTGGTCCCGTTATCGTCTGGGAAATCTGTTGTTGGTTGCAGGTGGGTGTTTGCTATCAAAGTTTGACCTGATGGTACTATTGATCACCTCAAAGCTCGTCTTGTGGTCAAAGGTTATACTCAAATTTTTGGGTTGGATTATGGAGATACCTTTTCCCCTGTGGCAAAGATGGCTTCTGTTCGTTTATTTATCGCCATGGTTGCTCTTCAACAATGGCCTCTTTATCAACTGGATGTTAAAAATGCTTTCCTCAATGGTGATTTGCAAGAAGAAATATATATGGAGCAACCTCTTGGGTTTGTTGCTCAGGGGGAGTCTTCTGGGATGGTATGTCGTCTTCGCAAATCCCTATATAGCCTAAAACAGTCTCCTAGGGCTTGGTTTGGAAAGTTTAGCAAGGTTGTTCAACAATTTGGTATGACTCGGTGTGAATCAGATCATTCGGTCTTTTATCGACACTCGAGTGCTGGATGTGTTTACTTGATAGTATATGTTGATGATATTGTTCTTACAGGTAGTGACAACCATGGCATCTCTCGGTTGAAACAACATCTTTGTCACCATTTTCGGACCAAAGATCTTGGCAAACTTAGATATTTCTTGGGTATTGAGGTAGCACAGTCCAATGATGGTATTGTTATATCTCGAGAGGAAGTATGCCATAGATATTTTGGAAGAAACTGGGTTGATGAGTTCAAAGTCTCGTTGATACACCCATGGATCCCAATACTAAACTTCTACCAAATCGGGGGAGCCTATATCTGATCCTGAGCAGTATAGAAGATTGGTTGGAAAATTGAATTATCTTACGATTACTCGTCCCGACATTTCCTTTGCGATCGAGTGTGGTAAGTCAATTTCTTAATTCACCATGTGAAGATCATTGGAATGCGAGTCATTCGTATCTTGAAGTATATTAAAGGATCTCCTGGAAAAGGATTGTTATATGCTTCTAATAACCATACAAGAGTTGTTTGCTACTCGAGATGTCGATTAGGCGGGATCTCCTTCGGATAGAAGATCTACATCCGGATATTGTGTCTCCATTGGTGGTAACTTGATTTCATGGAAAAGTAAGAAACAAAGTGTTGTGGCAAGATCCAGTGCGAAGCAGAATATAGAGCTATGGCCTCAGCTTCCTGTGAACTTGTTTGGCTCAAGCAATTGCTTAGAGAGTTACAATTTGGAGATGTCACTCAAATGACACTTGTGTGTGACAATCAGTCCGCTCTTCATATTAGTTCTAATCCTGTCTTTCATGAGAGGACCAAACACATTGAGATTGATCTGTCATTTTATTCGAGAAAAGATTATGTCTGGAGATATCAAGACTGAGTTTGTTAACTCAAGTGATCAGTTAGCGAGATATTTTTACTAAATCTTTACTGGGTCCTAGAATTGATTATATTTGTAACAAGCTTGGCACATACGATTTGTATGCTCCAGCTTGAGGGGGAGTGTTAGATATTGTTTATATATTATTTGATATTGTTAAGATATTGTTAGATATTGGTAACCACAATATCAAACAATATCTTCTGTTTATTCTGTTACTTTCAGTTACTCTTTTAGTTGTATTTCTCTACTATAAATAGACCACCCTATGTGTGATTTATACACAAGGGAAATTAATTCCAAACTATATTTTCTTTATATTCAACACTTATAAACTATATATTGACAACTTAAAAATGAATTAACTTATATGTATAATTAAATATTTGAAAACAAGTATTATAATAATAATGTTATAAATATTCAAATATTTGAATACATTGTTATAATAATAATAATAATAATAATAATAATAATAATAATAATAATGTTATAAATATTATATATATATATATAAATAAAAAATAATTAAATATTTCTTTTTACATATATATTTTAATATAAATATAATAAATTAAAATGTATATTTAATTAATAATAACTATAAATTATAAATATTTATTTATATATAAAAATACATAGTAAAATTAATTTATTATAAATATAATTATCTTTCTAAAAATAATATAAATTGGGGACGGGGCGGGGCGGGAACCGAAGCCTAGCGGGACGGGAATGTGGACTTAATTCTTAACTCCGACGGGATCGGAGGCGGGACGGGGATGGTTAAAAAAGTTGGGGGCGGGGACGGGGGAGGCAAAACCCGCCCCCGCCCCGTTGCCATGCCTAGTAGGCACATTTTCTGGCGGCATATGGTGACAACAAGCTTTCTAGCTTTGGACTTGTTACAGGTGCTATCTGATCCTTGATAAGGTTAACTTTTATCAGTGGTAAGTCCGTCCATGCTTTGTGATAAATGTGAATGCTGTTTCCATGTCGCCACTTTTGTTGCCTTCATTCCATTTTTTATTATCACGATCTATCAGTTGTTTGTTCAGGAAGAGAACCAACTTTCCTGTCTTTATTTTGTTGATGCCTTCCACAGCTGCCACTGCAGAGAATGCCCGATAAACTTCCTGCATCAGAAGTTTGGTGCCATAATGTCTACTGAAGACACATTATTTGGGAAGAGTTAAAACAGAATCTTTATTATTTTTTCTAACTAAATATCAAAAGCATTAAATAAACATCAAAAGACTTTAATATGTTCCATTAAAAGGAAATTCCTGAGTTGTATGAAATTTCAAAGCATACATGTATAGTCCTATAAATATTACCGAGGCTAATCGCAAATTGAAATAGCTAAAAATCGCCTGGAAATGCTGGGCAGGTGTGACTAACTTCATTCTGTCTGACTAATATGTGTATTAATTTATGGCAAGAAACATTACCACAATGGCCTTGATCCTTGATGTGTGTAACTGCACTCTCTTCCTCCACTGTACGCTTTCAGGTAGATCTTCATGTTTATGGTACATGGATCCTGTTTTGAAATCATTTGTAAGATCTGGGAACTTGCTGTCTGTGAGCTTGTAAGAGTAGTTTTAAGAGTCGTAGAACTCTATAAACTTGACATTTGATTGGTCAATTTCAAAACGGACTTCCCATTCTTCTTTATTCCTGTATTTTCTTCCATCTCTTAGCCAATTTTCATACCTTTTCCACATGACTTTTGGATCAAATGAATTATCATTGTGCGTTGCAGGACATGCACTTGCAGTTATCCATACATTGCTTAAGACAACAAGACTGATGATAGTTACACTTAATGTTATTGGCTAGTTCTTCCTGCAGCAGTGAATGACAGCATGCATTCATATTTATTGAAAACCTTGTGTTTTTTCTTAATTATTTCATATTCATCTATTGAAGACTCGTTTCGCTGCATGTTTGTCCTGTATCCATATCTTTCATGTCATGCTTGTGAATTTAAACAAGGCGTGCATTCTGTTCATTTTCTTCGCAAAACCATATAATATACTTACATGCCTTAAACTTGCTTATATAGTGGCTTGTAATATTTCAACGAATATATGAATGATTAGAGATTAAGTTACTTAAAGAGTTTTCTTACTATCTTGTATTCTAATAATATTAAATAACTCACTTTTCAGTTTTAAAAATAAAAAATGAACGTAGAGATGAAACAAATATTTTAAAGCCTGCTCTAATAGTAATTCATGCTTACCCTATATTATGTCAGTCATAGTTGTTACTGTTGCATTCAAGCTATGCATGCAATCAAAGACACTGGTAAAGGACTAAAAATGAAAAGAAGGAAAGGTTTTAAAAAACATAAAAGAAAATTGAATAGATATTTCGTGAAGGTTTACCTTTAACAATTAGATGTTTTGGTGGAGTTGAATCTCATTCCATGTAGAAATAAAGATGAATAATATATAAATTCAAAATTATATATGGTTAGAAATCTTATTAAATTTAGTTTTCAAATAGTTGATCAGTTTTGGAAAAACTTTTATCAATTGATTAAAAAATTCAATAAATTCAAGTTACTCCATATTAAGTTTTTCAGAATAAAGTTTTAATTTGCAAAGATTATAATTTCTTCGTTTTTAGTGATTCTAGAGCATAATTTGAAATTTTCTGAAGTCCTACTTTTGAAAAGAAAAGAAAAAGTCTCATGTCATTTGACTGAATAAAACATCGAAAATAAATTTATAAATAAAGTAGATGTTAGCTTCGTTTGTACTTTTTCATCTAATACTATGAAAAAAATTCATTTAAAATATTGAATAAAATACAATTATATATGGTTGGAAAGGATGTTGAGTATAATTTTAGAATCTATAATAAGATTTTGAAAATTATTTTCCAATTGATACAATTAAATCAATAAGTCACCTGAACTTTTCAACATAAGAATATCAACTTATAAGGTTCACAACTTCGTCGTTTTAAAACATTTTTGAGTGATTCATTTTCTGTGTGTTAAGGATTTGTTAGTCTAATTTCTAATAAATCTAGTTTCCGACCATTTCATTAAATAAAACTAAGTTATGAAAATTTTATTAACTTTTTTTTTTTTCAGAATTTGCGTAGGCTGATTTTCGACTTTATTTTTTTTTTAATTCTTATAAAATAGAAAACCAACCCAAAAAATTCTATAGAAATTTTGATAGAGTGTGCTGGTATAGATGAAACATGTACAAATAATGTGTAAAGCTTCTAGTTTCAAGAAAGATTTTAACTCTTGGAGAATTTTATATATATCCAGTAATGAAGTCGAAGTGATATTGAAGTTAAGAATAATATATATATATATATATATATATATATATATATATATATATATATATATATATATATATTATTTAACTTAATCTTGGAGATTTTTTTATTTTTTACTTTTATGTATTTCATTAATTGATATAACTCACTTGTATAAATTATTATCACTATTAATATTATTATCTTAAGAGACAAATTAATTTACAATTTTCATAAAACTATTAAAACTGTACCTTAAATAAATATTAAAAATTTGATATTTACTTTAAATATTTCTTATAAAATTATATAAAATAGTTATTATTATAAAAATTATACTAAGAGCAGTTAAAGTAGTTATCGATAAGAATTGTTGCTTGAGCACAAAATATATCAATGGAAAAGAAATTTATTATACCCAAAATATTACTAAAATTTAAATATGAATTAAAATATTAGGTAAGTTATTAAATATTATAATTTATAAACAATTATATATTTATTGTCTTAAAATTTTGGATTAAAAAAATGTTTTTCTTTTCTTGTGATTTGTTAATTAAGATTTATATATATATATATATATATATATATATATATATATATATATATTTCATTATATTTATCTTTTCTTTAAAATTGTTCCAATTTATTATACTTTAGTTATATTCTCACTTACACACCTTTTCACTTTTGTTAAAATCTCATTATGGATTTGTGTTTGTTAGAACCAACATTTTTAACCATGATAGAGGCACTATTGATTGGGTCTGTTCAAGAGATTAAGGATTTAGAACATTTTTTTTATTTTTATGAGTTTGCCTTGTAATTTTCCTTAAGTTAGAATGTTTTTAAGAAGATCCTTTAGTGTGTAGGAATTAATTGAGTGAAATAAGGTTTTTTATACATCAATGTATTATATATGGACAATATTGTACGGATGATAGCTTTAGGGTATTTGATGAAGGAAAAGGCATAAAATATATTTGAGATTCTTTTCTTCAGCATTAGTTCCGATTCTTTTTCTGTTACTCTTTCCATATTCAAATGAACCAAACACAATCTGCAATGGGATCCTCATAACTCAGGAATATGAACCATTTATTTTAATTAAATAAATATATTTAAATTTTAAATTATATGAGTCAAGTTTTAATTCCTAAACTTTTATTAATTAGTTATATTTAGATGAACTCAATATAAATTATTTAATTTAGTAAACATGTTAGATTACTAATAGAAATTTGATACGAACACTCTCCATCTGAGAAAACGAAAGAAATAATGTAATTTATTTAAGAATGATAGTAAAATTAATTATTTGTGATTATGGATAACCTATTATGCTTGAACAAAAAATTATCTTTTTTTCGTATTAAAGAAGATTTTGTTTTTCAATTTCTACAATTTTATATATAGAAATGCATAAAATTCAGGCATTTCTGCCCCTTTAATGTTTCCGTTAATGACAATAAACAGACCCTTAATTTTGGTTGTTTTGAAAAAATAAAATTGAACTAAATAACATTTATACATCTATAAAAGAAGGTTATTTGATATAATATATATATTAACAATATTATTTATAGTACATATCAAATTTTAATATATATACTAATAAATTTTAGAGTAATATATGAAATATATCATACTATAGTATAGACCTACAATGCCAATACAATAATTTAATTTTGAAACAAAAACTGATTAATGGATACCAAGCTTATCATAATAGAATATACATGAAGCCTTTGTTAAGGGCAGAAATGCATGTGTGAAGTCTATTATTATAACTTGTAGGTATATAGTACACTTTTCAATAGTATTAATTTGCAGGGTGGGGTATGAAGAAGAAGAAAAAAATAGTGTAGGATTGATTAGGAGGGGAAAGCAAGGCCTATATATATATATATATAGAGAGAGAGAGAGAGAGAGAGAGAGAGAGAGAGAGAGAGATTGTAGTGATATAAAGTCCATCCAATAAGATGCTACTAATCATGATGAGCTTTGTGAAATAGTTTAGTTCTTAATAAAGAAAAACTCCATTAAAGAATTCCAGGTAAGATAAGATGATGAAAGAAGGTACCTAGAAACACATAGACACACAGATACATATACATATTTAGAGAGAGTGTGAGAGAGAGATAAGAGGCATATACCCTACATGTGGTGTGGGCATGGTTTGGGGACAAAGCAAAGAAAGCGTAGTGCGTGCAAACAATTCACATGGGAGCATAACATAACATAACATGATCATTCACTCTCTCTTTTTTCTTCTCTTTTCACAGCTAGCTCATGCCCCAAATCCCACCATCCAAACAAGTTTGCTTATCTTAATTACTGTGTCTATATCTAGCTTTTAGTGAAATGATTAATGAGACACGTAGCAGCCCATGCATAACCACTGCACCATTATACAATAATCCCATGCACATGGCCTTTGTTTCTTCTCCTTCCTCTCTCTCTCTCTCTCTCTCTCAGATAAAGATCACAACCCATTTGGTTTCACCAATCACTAACCCCCTCAAGTGGGGTTCTGTCTTACCTTTTGTCTTGGACAATATCTTTTTATATTTATCACCAACGTGGACACGATTCATCAGAATCAAATCCATTTACCTAATTCCTCTACACTCATTTTTCTTTTTCTTTTTCCCTTTTAACCTTCACTTCTCCTCCACGGCCATCTTGCAAAAGTCTAATTTGAGAAGTTTTTCCAACCACTTCAAATTCACCTAAATTGGTCAACTATGTTCTTGACCTTTGCTGGACTCTTTTTTCCTTCCCATGATATTATCCCTGTTGCGATCTACCCCAACACAAATAGACCTGCTAAATGCAGTGCCATCATGATGGAGGGTTAAAATTAGTGTATTGAAGAATATATATATAGAGAGAGAGAGAGAGAAAGAGTGTAATAAAGGCAAATAATTACCAAAATTGCAAGAAAGAAACTTTATTATTATTATTATCATAAGGATTTCCACCACCCAATTAGATTTAATAAAGCTGATAGATAGCTAGTTGTATTTCTTAAACATGTGTTCAGAAGATTGATTCATGATAGCATGAATATATAGAAAAAAGCTTATTAAAAGAAAAAAAAAAAAAAAAGACTTATTTGAATGAATTTGTTCGTGAAATATATTGGTGCAAAGATAAAGAAAAATAAGGGCATCCACTAAAAAGACGGACACAAGGGCACGTGGTGGCTGATTCCCACTACTTATTAATCCAGTGGCGACTTTCCAGTAACACCGTTGAAACCCAACCCCTCTTCCCAGCTGTTCATAGCTGTCCAATCCCTCCCCATCCCCATGTGACCCCACTGCACAAACACATAGATACAGATACCCCAGAGATTTTTTTGGGATTTTATACCCAAAACAAAATACAACTATTCAAAATTTTACCACTTTTTTTTATTATTTTTCAAAAGAGAGAAGAGAAGATATTAAGAAATTTCATCATTGTGTTGTTGTTTGTTCGTGTGGCTTTCTTACCTCCAACAACATTCCCCTGTGGTTGCTGGGAACATGCATATATATTTATAAAAGGGATGTGTTAGAGGCTCTCATTTCTTCTCTCTCGTTGCCACATCCTTGTTGTGCTGCATGCCTTATGCAATACACATACAATAATATGCATATCGTTTACATATATATATAAGCATTTGTTAGGGAAATGTACTACTGCAACAACATTAACATCCGAGGTTAATTTGCAGCAACATTCCTGATTTGGTGTGTGTGTGTGTGTTTCAAATGGCGCAATTACCTCCAAAGATCCCAAACATGTCCCCAAGTTGGCCAGACTTCTCTTCTCCTCATCAGAAGATGCCATTGCCACCTCTTAACAACGGAACCACCAACAACAACACAGGCCATTATCATCATCAGCATCATCAAAGTCAAAACCCTTCCTGGGTGGATGAGTTCCTCGACTTCTCCTCCGCCCGACGCGGCGCTCACCGGCGGTCGGTGAGCGATTCCATCACCTACTTGGACTCACCAAGGTCTGGAGAGAACAACAACAATAACGATCATCATAACAATAGCAATGAGAATGAGTTTGACAAGTTTGATGATGAACAATTCATGTCCATGTTCACGGATGAAGTAGTGCTGTCTGGGGTCCCCATGCCACCACAAACCACCTTGTCCTCCTCTAACCCTTCAAGCCCTTCGGATCAGAACTTCTTCCATGATGAGAAAGAGAGCCGCCAGAAGGAGATGAAGCTGCAAGAGGAGGACGAGGAGCACCGCCATCAATTGAAAAACGAAGCAGATGAGGTCGAAAGCCAATGCATACAGGAAATTTCGCAGCCTCCTAATGACACCAACACTTCTTCTTCCAACGAGAGAATTACTGACCCCAAGAGAGTCAAAAGGTACGTGTACTTCTCATTAAACATTCATATATGTCATACAAACTACATTATACATATCTGTATGTTTTTTCCTGGTCAAGTTTGCAATCATAATTACACAAAATTGCAGGGTTTTTTCTTAGAGTAATTTTGTGAGTTTGATGTTCCTAGAATTATTCTTTCACCACCCAGTTAGGAATCACAATTGTTATACATCTCTCGTTTTTTTTTTTCCTCTTTTAGATATTAAATAACCAATCATACCAACTATTTATTTATTTTCTTCTGGCGTAAGAGATTTCTCCAAATATTTCTGTTTTTTCTTGGAAGAAAAATGTCGAATGTCCCCTCTAATTTTGAGGTGGATAGGTGGAAGGAGGAAAAAAAAAATAAAGAACAAAAAATCTGATGAAAAAAAAAAAGGGAAGAGAAGTATACACAAATGATAGGGGAAACCACAAAAGAAGAGGTTGATAAGTGATAATAACCACCCTTCTTATGCTTGATAATTGATTCTTCATAATTAAGTGACTTTCTTTTTCTATTGATTTCTGTAAATTGTTTCATTTTTTTTGCTGAAACTGAAAAGGAACCATACTAAATTGCTGAGTTAGAATTTTTGTTTTCTTTGAGTACTGTCTCTGACTGTCGCCTTGCATCAGAATCTTGGCTAATAGACAATCTGCACAAAGATCGCGAGTGAGGAAGCTGCAATACATATCAGAGCTTGAGCGAAGTGTAACTTCATTACAGGTTTGGGGACCTAACGTGATGTGACTACAATAAATGTTTGTTATTTATAAAAAAGGAAAATGTTTTTTTTTTATCAGTAGCCATAATAAATCATTGGATATTATTTTTTTCATGTCAATTATAATGTCATGATAAACAAAGTAACGATGCATCTTCACCATTGACCTTCTTATTGTTTTTCATCATATATCACTTATGTGTGTGGTTGAAATAACATTCCTCAAGATCAAAATATTGACCTTTTCCTGATCCATTGACCAATGAAGGCTGAGGTTTCAGTGCTGTCTCCAAGGGTTGCATTTTTGGATCATCAACGTTTGCTTCTTAATGTGGACAATAGTGCCCTCAAACAAAGAATCGCTGCCCTTGCTCAAGACAAGATATTTAAAGATGGTAATTTTATTTAATTATATTATCTTATTAATCTCAATTTTTTGGTGGGATAGTTAACCTTTTAAGATGAGGTTGATGGATGCATTAATTAGTAGTTTATTGCATTTAGAATCCATGACTTGTATGATCCAATGTACCCAACACTTACTTTTGCCATATAAGTGAAATAAAAGTGAAATAAAAATTCCTCATAGTTAGGAAAAGTGTAACATGTCCACAAGAAGCTCAGTTTGCCAAGTGAACCTAACCTCGTGGCTTTACTTGTCTTTATAGTAGGCACATGCATTCGGTTTTATTTTCTCTCTCTTTTTTGGGAAAAGTTTGATGAACAATAAACTGTATTCAATACCTAGAGAGAAAGAAAGAAAGAAAAATGAAAATAATGTGGTTGAAGAGAAAGATAAAGAGAAATAGTAAGTATGATATAAATACCTCTGTTTATCGTCATTAGTATTATTTTGTTAAATTTCTTACAAACCTCAAATCCACAATTATATCATCCTGATCAACTCCACTTAATTGGCTTAGTTTGAAGCAAAACGAAGTTATGTACTAAGTTGAAATGTGGATGCTTACATGCATCTCGTACGGTATTTATAACTTTTTGTTGGTTAACTTGTTTAGTTTCATTTTATGTTTTAAGCATGCACGAGAAAATTCAAAGGAAAAAGAAAGCATGATTGAGTGTAGTAAGTAAAAGAATCTGTAAATTAAAATTGATACTGGTTTTCCAATAGAGATCTTGACAACACGGGAAATGACAAAATGCATTGAAGAAAATTCACCTCCAAGTTGGTTAATATATACTAGTATATTTTCCCCGCATGTATTACTACTAATAAAAAAAGATTAACCAATGAGGAACAAAGAGTACTACTGAATAAATTGCACTGTTCTTGACCTTTTCTCGTGAAAGTTGCATACCACCGTAATTATTTCATTAATTTATTTGGGAGAAACAGACCAATTATGAGAGTGCAGTTATATTGATTTGAGTGAACGCTTTTGCATGCACGCGAATTTAAGTCTGTGTCTGATCATGTGCCATGTCTCCGAGTAGTTAAAATTGTTTAACTAATTAACCTTGCACCGTTATTGAAATTAATCATACACATGCAGCTCATCAAGAGGCACTGAAGAGGGAGATAGAGAGGCTGAGGCAAGTTTATCACCAACAGAGCCTCAAGAAGATGGAAAATGCCGCAGGGTCACCACCATTACCATCTCCATCACCAAATCCTATACGTGATGCTCAAACAGAAAAGGAAGTACAACTTATCAACGTTTGAAGATTCATCACAGTACAAAAGCATGATCAAGTAGCTATTAATTTTCTAGTTAATTACATGACACTGTGATTGTTTATATAAAGAGAAATTGCAGAATTTTGGATGAGAGATGGGGGAGAAAGGAAAAGGGTAATAATTGGAAGGATGTTAAATGTGGTTGTAATGTGTATTGAGTCGAATGGTTTAAAGTACTGTTGGGTGGTGAGAATTTTTATTAGTGAATTGATGAAGGAAATATATTGAGTGAATGTTGTTCGTGGTGAGGCCATTGGTTTGGTGGTAGGCTTCTGCTATGCAACTGCGCAAGCACGTGATGTGTTTACTTTAAAAAGAGGGGACCACTCAAAGCTTGCATGATTAGAATGCAGGGGATCCACATGTGCAACAGTGGCATCAAAAGAGAGGGTGGAAGAAACAGTTGTGTCTGTCTGCTTTAACTTGATAGATAGATAGGAGTGGAGTGGAGGAGGTGGTATATGTTGATGATTCTTTCACTTCTTTATTTCTTGTCTTTGATTCTTTTCTATTTTGCTTCATGTTTTTCAATGCATGTTGGAAAACAAACACAAGTGGGCTTGGCTTGTGTAGGGATGGATTCATGAAAGGAAGGTGTGTCTGTCAGTGAAGTCTTGGATGGGTTTTATGGTTTGGCTGTACTTTCTATTATGTAATCATTTTTATTATTTGACATAATTAATTTAAAAATCCTAAAATGTAAATAGTTAGTTGACACAATTTGCCCTGTATATAATAGTCTAGTTTTTCTGATTTAACTGCTTAACAATTTAGTGTGTTATGAACTAAATGACATCACACCTTCTTATGGCAAAAAAAGGTAAGAAGATTGTGAGTTAAACTACATTGGAGAGAGCGCATGTATGATATCTCAATCCCACTCATCTCTCATTCTCTTACCACCTCTTGTTCTATATTTGCAAAGGGTTACTTTTTTTCATTTTTGTACTTTGTTTGCTAATGTTTGAAGTTAAAATTGCTGTTGATCAGTGTTGCGTATTGACTGTGGTATAAGGATGAGATAACTAAATTGTAACCTTCTTTTTCTTGAATATTAAATATATTACCGTACTTTTGGATCAGGAAAGAGTCCAAAGTTGTTCTTGGTGCCAAAGATTATTGAACTAAATATTTCCTCTCTGCTCCTTAGCAGCAAATAATCCATGCTAAATTCAGAGTCACAATTTTTGAAGTCCATGAGTTGAATCTAAGAAAACAGTAGATTAAAAAGACTCAACTCAGTAACAAATTATAAGAAATTATATTTGTACAATGAATTTGTATAAGGTCAATAGCTGAGACTATTCTAAGCGAATCCAACAAGTAGTCTAATTGAAGCAAGATATTTTCTTCTAGGAATAGGAAAGCAATAACGTCCATAGAGGGGACCTGATGCAGAATCCAAATGCAAATGTACACAGTGTCTTCCCTAGAAGTAGATTAAATTCATATTTATGAGGAATTGACATTGACTATTTTCTTTTTGGCTTGTATGTTATGACATTTATACTGGCATGAGTGTGACCTTTTGGCTCTCATGAAATTACAAATGGTCCACTCAGTGAATTTAAGGCCATGTGCTAACTTTTCAGATTAAACCATACCATCGCTATTAGTATGTTTAGAACGTTATAGAATTTGGGTACAGTTAGGTAGCTGTGAACATGCTTAACTACTGTTGGTCTTTGAGCTCTGCAGTACGGTTCATTGCTCATCTCATCATTTACTATTCTAGCTTACTGTTCTAGCAAAGGATCGTACTGAAGTGCCACAAGCACAAGACAAAGGCATATGCATGCCACAAACTCGTCAAACAACTACAACATCAGACTACTAGTAGTATAAATTATTACATGTCATTGTTTTAAATACATCATCAACATCTCTTATTTCTTTTTATCTCTCTCACTAAGTCATAAATGACATTTGAGTGTTCAAATAATTGAAGTTTCTAGGCGATATTTAATTGAAGTTTATCAATTTTTTCTATAAAATGAAAAATTCAGTTGGAAGTGACATGGAGATTGGTCAATAATATAACCATCAGGTGATATAATATGATACTAGCTAATAATTTCAATTACTTCTATGTTAACTTGTGGAACAAGAGAAAAGTATTCTCAAACTCTTTGCATCTTTCCAATGTAAAACTTGCTCGAAATTACTAAATATATTTCAGAAAGATAAGAAGAATTTCTTGATAATTGATAACTCCAACATGTTAGTTTTGATTTGAGGTAGACTCCACTCAACTCCAATTGTTTAATTTACATTACATATTGTTCCCTTGTAGTCCTTGTCTGGGGAAATTGAAAAACCAATGAGGTATTTGTAAAGGTAGACCGAGATGTGGTATCTCAAAACTAAGGGGTTAATATATGTGGAATTTGACAGAATAGAAGTAATTGTAGAATGTAGATGATGATGATGCCTGCCATAATCCTAAAAGCTTTTGGTCCCCTTTGCATGTGGAGCAAGAGATGGTCACATATCATATGCAGTCAAGTAAACTATATCCAGCAGTAGAAAGATTGAGTGGTCAATTTCACCACAAACCTCAACCCCCAACTATTAGTGTTGTCCTGAAAGTGGTAAAACCATCCACACTAACACAGTTTTAAGCATAGGAATAGTTACTAGTATATGAAGTGGTGGCCAACTAAGGGGTGGTCCATGTTTGTGAGTTTGACGGGTTTCTGATCAACGTATAAACTTGTGTATAGTATGGTTTGTTGCAAGATCTATGACAGCTCCATCAATAGAAAATGAGAACAGAAGGGTAAGAACATTACATGAAAACGTACAAGGTCCAAAAAGAAGAAGAGTTACTCTTTTCTGTTCACCGTTGGTGCAACCAACGGAGGCCATGTAGCTTTCTTTCACATTGTTTCATTAAACATTAATTACAAACACTTTTCTCAATAAGAATTGAACCTTGTTCAGCATTCTGCCCAAATGGTTATATATTTACTTGATAGTTTTATAAATGTTTTGAGTAAAATTGCGCTGGATGGTATCCATGTCGAATCCTACATATTTTGTCGGTGGAAAAATTGAACATAGTCAGAAAGTTGGTTCAAACGTTTTGAGGTGTCTAAACAACAGAATTTCCAACCTCTACAAGAATGAGTGAGCTACTAATACAAAGGTTGTTGGATTAAAGGAATAATAATGTGAGTAAAGGCGAAAATTAAACACAGAAAATAAATTCCATGATGGTATTTGATTCTCACATGATTCTAGGTAACAGCTACCCACAGTTTATGAACCCCTGTTTCAAATTAAAGTCTGAACTTGGATGTAAACTGATGCAAAAAAATGGTAAACCCTGCTACTCATCAGTTTGCAGAATAGCCCAATTTGGTAAAACTGTGGCTGGTAAAAATATGCTACTTCAGAAAGTTATTGCTCCTTAGAAGAAAATTCAAATCATCGTGTCAGCGTCAAATCATTTTCAGAACATATTCTCTTAAAGTTTAATTTCATAAACAATCATCAATTCCATAACTACTGTAATAGCCAAAATAGTAGGATTTAAGAACTAACAACTTATAAGCAGTTAATGGTGTGTGTTTATGTCACTAAATGACATAAAGAATAGTATTATTCTTTACTACATGTGATAAATAAAATGAAGGTCTCAACTGTGTTTCCCATTTGGTTTTGTCATCGAAGTCTTATTCTGGTTTAAGAAAATTCAGAAAAGCAGAATAGCCTTTTTTACATGTTCTGAAGTCCACGACTTTGAACAACGGTGGTTATTCCCAGCCATCGAAATCCCTTGTCTCTTCAACTGTAGTAAGAAAATTACACAATTAACTAATTCTACTACATGCTTAAAATTTGACTGTAAAAAGTTAGATAGAGCATTTACTTTTTCTTTCTGTAGCTATATGCATCTACAGCAAAGAGATGAACTTGAACATGTTCATTTAGTATGATCTCAGTATCATCCAATTATTTTGGGCCTGTGGTCTATTTCTATACAAATGGATGAAAAAATTCTTTCTAAAATTATTAAAATAAAATTGAAAAATAGAATAATGAATAAATAGTGATTGAAGCAACAAGTTGATATTTTTATTTTAAATTAAACTAAAGTTGTTTGTAAAAACATGATAATAGGGAAGTGAAATGCAGAGAGAATTTAAAAGAAAAATGGGGAAAAGGGGAAAGTCAAAAAGACGAACTCCCGAAGTAGCCGACACTGTTGCAACGTTTGACGTTTGATTATGTGACATCCAATCCAAGATCACGGTGTTACTCACCGATTCAGTTCAGTTCACTGTTCATTATAACGATAATATGCCCAATAGACCACCATTTCCACCCTGCCACTGCTTTCTTCTTCTCCTTTTATTTGGTTTTGTCGGCGGCGACACGCCGTCGCGGGAGGTGTGGTGCGTGGCCAAGAACAACGCGGAGGACGCGGCGCTGCAGTCGGCGCTGGAGTGGGCCTGCGGCGCGGGCGGAGCCGATTGCGGAGCGATCCAGGGAGGAGGACCCTGCTTCGACCCTTCCAGCGTGCAGAACACGGCGTCGTACGCTTTCAATGATTATTTCCGGAAACACGCTATCGCGGAAGAGAATTGTAACTTCGGCAACAACGCCGCCATCACGTCCTTGAACCCCGGTCAGTTCTCACCTCCACCCCTTCTTTTCTTTTTCTCCTTCAATACTTCAATTTCAAGCCCTTCAATTTCTTATTTTTTTATCTATTTTAATTTTTCAGGTTTTGGTAGTTGCAAGTTCCCTTCTAGGTTGGTAGCAGTACTCGATTGAGCTCACTTTTTTCTTTACTGTTTTTTAAATTTTGGTTCTGAAAGTTTAAGGCTTGTTTTGAATGTGATGCAGTTCCTTAGTGAACAATGGGAGCTTCTCGGGATCAGCGTCATCAGTGGGATTGATGCCCGGTGAAGACACAAGTGGGTGCGGTGGAGTTGGTTGGAGATGGTGGTTTTTGTCATTTATTATGACCACTCATTTATTCTTGATAGTTTCATTTTCACCCATTGTTTAAGGATTATAGATCTAGTTATTTTGGATTTTTAGATTTACTAGCATTAAACCGAGTAAATGGAAGGTTGTGTTATGGACTATGTTCTCTGATGGTTTCTGGGTCGAAAGTTAGTCCATTCTTAGCATGGGAAAATGGTCCTTTTTCACTTATTTCAGCTTTGTGTCATATGGTCCTTCTGTTCTTGAAATGCAATATGTTATGGGGAGTTTTACTGGTACGGATACAACTGAGTCATTGAGGTAACTATTTTAAGTGCTTATGATATGATTCTTAATATTTGCTTTATGCAATTGGTGCAAATATATTCTGGTTGCATAATTAGATATATAGTGTAGAATCTTTCCCAAAGAAGTAAATAAAACTTTCCATCTTGCTACCTGGGATTTTAGTCTGTCTGTTGATGATGTTACATGCTCTTCTAATCAATTTGGATGATATTTATCAATAAGCAATAAGCATGAATAGGAGAAAAGGCTTCAAAACTTGTGCATTTTAATCATTAGTTTAAAATTAATAATAAGGTTAAGAAAACCTAATGATACACAGAGTCTTGAACAGCTCTGCTTTTAATTAAAGCATTGCTGTTGCTGATTTCTTGTGGGTTTGCTTTTTATTTGTATTGTTTTTGTGCAATCTCTTGGAGAAGATGCGTACAGCGACCAGGTGTAACAATTGGTTTTAAAATGGTCTTGAGACGAATTTAAATATATCTAAAGGTATAATAGGGAACAGAGATGTATAATTGTTAGGTTAGGAAGGCAAAACATGCTAGCTCACCTATCCACGGACACCCTATTTAAATTTAAAATCTATAGTCTATCTTAATTATAGGTTTTGGTCCGTCTTATCAAATAACAAATTAAAATTATATTTTTTTATTTTATTATTTTTAAATTAAATATTTTTATAAATTTAATAATAAAATTATTATTATTAATCATTCAAAAAAAATATATATATATATATATTTAAGTTAATAATATAAATTAATATATTATTTTAAAAAATTATATTTTAAAATAATTAAATTAAAATAAAATTATACAAGCAAAAATCTATAATATAAATTTAAGTAATTATAAAATTTAGAATGAGAATTTTAGAATTTATTTTTCATACATTTTTATATTATATATTATTTTTCTATTCTTTGAATTGTATTATAATAAAAAGAAATTATTAATAAAGCATGTTATGGGTTAACCCACTCTATTCCTACAAGTTGACCTAATAGATTGGCTTGACAAATTAACAAGACGGACCGAAAGTACTATTCGGTCTACTTACAAACTGACCGGTCGACCAACGGAGCCTGATCCTTTTTTATCCCTAATAACTGTATAAGTTATCAAATTGTATACATAATTTAATTATAAAAAATGGTTTGTGAATAAACTCAGTGACATAGTATTAAAAAATAATTATAAAAGTTTGTGAAGAGGTGTTTCTCCCTATCACAGAAAGTTATGTGGATATTTATTATTCTGTAACTATATATAAAAAGGGATTTTTTTAATCACTTTAAAAGAAAAAAATAAGTGTCATAATTAAAAAAACTATTATAATTTACATATTTAAAACTAATAAAAATATTTAAAAAAAAAAACAAAAAGTGAAAAGTTATTAATAAATTAATAATAAAAAAAATACGCGTTAAATATGTTTCCCCTTGTAATTAAGAAATTATAATTATATGTATTTGACGAAGTCATGCCTTATATTTTACTGTTTAAAAATTTAGCCAAAAAGTCATAATAGTTGTTGGGTTTGTAGGTCAGACCTTACCGTCAACCTTCAAATCAGATACGGAACCAGAAATATATAATAGTTGGGATTAATTTTATAGAAAAATAAAATTTTATATATAATATTTTAAAAAATAAATATTAACTATTTATAATAATAATTTATATGGTATCCGGTGTCATCACTTAATATATAATTTATCTTCATCTTATATATTATACTTTCTTTAATTATTTGTTCCATTTGTTTCTCTTAAATAAAAATAAAAATATTATTTTTCTTTTTTTCTTTTAAAACATCTCTAGTAACATGTTTTCTGTCTTTTTTTTAACTCTCTAAAATTTATGTATATCTAATAATACATTATTTGAAGAACAAATATCTTTCAATCACGTTTCTTAAACTTTTCTAGCAAATAAAAACAATAAAAAATTATCATTTCTTTATCCTCTTGAACTATCATTAATTATATCTTTTTTATATCTTTTTTACTTAAAAAAAATTCTAAAGAAACCCTTCTACATTAAAAACAAATATAGAAAAATATGGGCAAACAGATAGACACACGTATTTCTAAGAGTAATAATTAAAATATTACATATATTAATAATATTATACAATAACTTCTTTTAAGATACAAGTTTACTATTATTGATCACTAAATTTAAATAGGACTTATAATAAAAATTAATATTTATGATAACTCTGAATTTTTAGAAAATATTAAATAATCATGTTCTATAATTCTATTAAATTATAATAAAATTTATTTTTCATGAAAATGATAATAACTATGTTCCAACAACTAAAGATCACAGGTAGAAATCAAATATATATATATATATATATATATATATATATATATATATATATATATATATATATATAAGAGTTGTTAGAAAGATGATTAAAAATGGAGAAGTTTATTAATGTGCTCACTATTAATAATTTATATAATATTCATTATTAAGTTTACCACATTGAGAAAGGTCAATAAATAGTATTTAATTTTTAAATTATTAAAAATAAAATTATATAACACTAAAAGATAATGAAGTCTTGTAAATATAATTATTTATGTTTCTTACATAAACAAATAACGAAAAATTCTATTAGAAAAAATAAATAAAATTACAAAATTTCATTTTAAAAAGTATATATATAATTATTTATATGTTATCCTATTTCTATAAATATAATTAAATTTTAAGAATAAAAAAAAATATACTCATTATCATATTTCTCAGTATCATATTTTCTTAAATTCCAAATTTAAGAGTTTTCTAAACTTTTAATACTCTTATATAATTTATGATTTTATATTCATATTTAATAATTATTTAATATATTTATTTATATATTTATAATTTTATTTTGTATCAATTTTATAAAATTTAATAATTATTTAATATATTTATTTATATATTTATAATTTTATTATTTATTTTTATTATTCTTTTTATATTTATTTATTATTTATTAATAATATATTATTTGATGTTAAGAATGGACTGCTCCAACCATTTAAAAATCCAAATACACCGCCTTCTGTACCAACTCAACCAAACAGGAAAAAGTTAAGTCATATGTTCCCTTTAAATATATAACCTTGTATATTATAATTAATAAATGTGAACTATGATTTATAAATACAATCATAGGGTTATATATTTTATGTCATAAACACATTATACAAACCCACAAAATCTTTCATAATGTTCAGCATCATGCCCAATAAAACGGTTTATTTATAGTGTAGACAAAACTTAAAGAATTTTTTTTTCATTCATACATAAAAATGTAAAGTAATAAATAATTAAGAGAAAAATTAAATAGATAAACTAATAAAATAATTTTTTCCCATATCATTTAATTAATTATTTATTTTTATAATTTATAATATTTGTTTAATTATTATTTTGGTTATATTAAATTTAGCACAAGATGTATATCTATTAAAATGAATTCGGCATACATTTTTATCTAATATTATTTTTTTTATTTTTTATTTCATTTTGATCGCAAAATATCGATTCATGCTAAATCAATAACAAAGTTAATTATTTTTATTTATTTTCCCTACCTCTTTTTATATTATATTTTTACTTATTAATTATATTATATTTTTTAGAAGTTTCACTTATTTAAAGTATTTATTGTCATTATCATAATTCGAACCCAGATCTGTAGAGTTAGAGACTGAAACTCCAACCACTGAGCTATTAGGATTTTTTAAAAATAACTTACAAATAAATTATATTTATATACAAATAAATATATATCCGTATAAATATATAAATATAAAATGTATAAATAAAAATATATTTATATATTTTAATATATATTTAAATATTGATATATTAATATATTGATATATTTACATATTTATATATTTATATATTTATATATTGATATATTTACATATTTATATATTTATATCTTTATATTTTTACATATATTTATATTTTTCCATATTTATATATTTATATATAAAGATATTAGTTTTGTATACAAATAATATTATAATATAGTATATTATACTATTAGTATAGTATACAAATTATTAATTTTGTAATTTATATATAATGAAAATAATATAATGGTATATTAGTATAGTATAGTATATGTGTATTCTAATTTTTAATTAAATTAAAATTATGCTAATAATGTATAATAATATAGAGAGGATAATAAATTTAATCCAATTACTTTTATAAATATATAAATATAAAATATATAAAATATTAAAAATGATATTATATTTTTAAAAATAAATATTAGAAAAAAGTTTAAAAACATATATAAATTATATTTATATGTCCAAAATATTAAAGATATCCACATTTAAAAAAATACTAAAAAATATTAAAAATTATACTTAAAATTGATGAAAATATTTTAAAAAAGTTATATTTATTAAAGTATTAAAAAATATTTTGTAATATATAAATTAAAAAAATTATCATTAAATTTTTTAAAAATTATTAGTTTTGTAATTTATACACAATAAAAATAAATTACAAATATTATAACTTAATGGTATGTTAATATAATATAATATATTTGTATTCTAATTTTAAATTAAACTAAAATTACGCTAATAATGTATAATAATATATGAGGGGATAATATTAATATATTTATATTTATATATTTATATATTTATATATTTATATATTTATATATTTATATATTTATATATTTATATATTTATATATTTATATTTTGATATATTTATATATTTATTTATATCCTTATAAATTTATATCTTTATATATTTATATATTTAAAAAAAAATTAAATATTAAAATTTAAAAATATATATTAGAAAAAGATTTAAAAATATATATATAAATTATATTTACATGTACAAAATATTAAAGATATATATTTATATCTTTATATTTTATATATTTATATCTTTACATATATTTATATCTTTATATCTTTCAATATATATTTATATCTTTATATATTTATAAAACCTATAAATACAAATATATTTATATATTTTAATATATATTTAAATATTGATATATGGATATATTGACATATTTATATATTTATATATTTATTTATATCTTTATATATTTATATATTTAAGAAAAAATTTAAAATTAAAAAATTAAATTTTAAAATAATATTTTATTTTTAAAAAATAATATTAGAAAAAGGTTTAAAAATATATATAAATTATATTTACATATACAAAATATTAAAGATATATATTTATATCTTTACATATTTATATATTTATATCTTTATATTTTTACATATATTTATATCTTTATATATTTATATCTTTATATTTTTACATATATTTATATATTTCCATATTTATATATAAAGATATTAGTTTTGTATACAAATAATATTATAATATAGTATATTATATTATTAGTATAGTATACAAATAATATATTAGTATAGTATACAAATTATTAATTTTGTCATTTATATACAATGAAAATAATATAATAGTATATTAGTATAGTATAGTATATTTGTATTCTAATTTTTAATTAAACTAAAATTACGCTAATAATGTATAATAATATATGAGTGGATAATAAATTTAATCCAATTACTTTTATTAATATATAAATATAAAATCTATAAAATATTAAAAATAATATTATATTTTTAAAAACAAATATTAGAAAAAGGATTAAAACATATATAAATTATTTTTATATGTCCAAAATATTAAAGATATCCACATTTAAAAAAATACAAAAAATATTAAAAATTACATTTTAAATTGATGAAAATATTTTTAAAAAGTTATATTTATTAAAGCATTAAAAAATATTCTGTAATATATAAGTTAAACAAATTATCATTAAATTTTTTAAAAATTATTAGTTTTGTAATTTATACACAATAAAAATAAATTACAAATATTATAATATAATGATATATTAATATAATATAATATATTTGTATTCTAATTTTTAATTAAACTAAAATTACGCTAATAATGTATAATAATATATGAGGGGATAATATTGATATATTTATATATTAATATATTTATATTTTGATATATTTATATATTTATATTTTGATATATTTATATATTCATATATTTATATATTTATATATTGGTATATTTATATATTTATATATTTATTTATATCCTTATACATTTATATATTTAAAAAAAATTTAATATTAAATTTTAAAAATAATATTATATTTTTAAAAATAAATATTAGAAAAAGATTTAAAAATATATATAAATTATATTTACATGTACAAAATATTAAAGATATATATTTATATCTTTACATATTTATATATTTATATATTTATATTTTATATCTTTATATCTTTACATATATTTATATATTTATATCTTTACATATGTTTATATATTTATATATTTATATATATATATATATATATATATATATTTATATATTTATTAAATCTATAAATACAAATATATTTATATATTTTAATATGTATTTAAATATTGATATATTGATATATTTATATATTTACATATTTATATATTTATATATTTATATATTTATATATTTATATAGTTACATATTTATATATTTATATATTTATATATTAATATATTAATATAATGATATATTTATATATTTTCTTATTTATATATTTATATATTTATATATTTATATATTTATATATTTATATATTTATATATTTATATATTTATATATTTATATATTTATATATTTATATATTTATATATTTATATATTTATATATTTATATATTTATATATTTATATATTTATATATTTATATATTTATATATTTTATTTATATTTTTACATATTTATATCTTTATATCTTTATATATTTATATATTTAAGAAAAAATTAAAAATTTAAATATTAAATTTTAAAATAATATTTTTTTTAAAACAAATATTAGAAAAATGTTTAAAAATATATATAAATTATATTTACATGTACAAAATATTAAAGATATATATTTATATCTTTACATATTTATATATTTGTATCTTTATATATTTATATCTTTATATTTTTACATATATTTATATCTCTATATTTTTACATATATTTATATCTTTCCATATTTATATATTTATATATAAAGATATAAAGATATTAGTTTTGTATACAAATAATATTATAATATAGTATATTATACTACTAGTATAGTATACAAATAATATATTAGTATAGTATAGTATACAAATTATTAATTTTGTAATTTATATACAATGAAAATAATATAATGATATATTAGTATAGTATAATATATTTGTATTCTAATTTTTAATTAAACTAAAATTACGCTAATAATGTATAATAATATATGAGGGGATAATAAATTTAATCCAATTACTTTTATAAATATATAAATATAAAATCTATAAAATATTAAAAATGATATTATATTTTTAAAAACAAATATTAGAAAAAGGTTGAAAAACATGTATAAATTATATTTATATGTCCAAAATATTAAAGATATCCACATTTAAAAAAATACTAACAAATATTAAAAGTTATACTTTAAATTAATGAAAATATTTAAAAAAGTTATATTTATTAAAGTATTAAAAAATATTTTGTAATATATAAGTTAAAAAATTTATCATTAAATTTTTTAAAAATTATTAGTTTTGTAATTTATATACAATGAAAATAATATAATGATATATTAGTATAGTATAGTATATTTGTATTCTAATTTTTAATTAAACTAAAATTACGCTAATAATGTATAATAATATATGAGTGGATAATAAATTTAATCAAATTACATTTATATATATATATATATATATATATATATATATATATATATATATATCCTTTTTTAACTTTTTTTTCTTTTTAAACTTCTCACATTCTACATTATTTTTAAACTCTATCATTTTTACTATATTATAATAATACATAAAATTTAAAAACTAAACTAAAAAAAGTAAGTTTAAATTTATAAAAAAATACATTACTAAAAGTATCATATTATATTAAGATTTTCATTATTTTCGTTAATTATAAATTTAAATGTGTTTCATAAATAAAATTATAAATTTAAATGTATTTCCACTTTTGATCCATCATAAATAATAAAAAATAGTCTCTTATAAATATTCTTCTATTTTAATCCATCATTAAAGTGGTCGCTAAATTGGTTGCTAATTGCGATCGAATTAAAGTGGTCGCTAAATTGGTTGCTAATTGCGATCGAATTAAATTGGTCGCTAATTGCAACCCAAATTAAATCGGTCGCTAATTGTGACCGAAAAAATTCGATGACTAAATGTGTTTTTTCTTGTAGTGTATATAATTTTTTATAAAGAAAAATGACAAAAAAACTAAGTTTTTTTAATAATAAATATTATATTTGAATATGATATTATAACTTATATATAACTTACATAAATAATCTACGTCAAAATTGGTAATTCACATATAATAATTAAAATAGATAATTCATATATAACAATTTATATAAATAATTAAAAAAAATACTTTATTTAAGTAATCACCGAGAATAATATATATTAACTTATATGTGATATTTTATCATACTTAAAATATTATTAAATGATATTTTTTTTTATTTTATTTCTGTTACATAAATGAATAATTTTTTTGTATTTTTTGTTATTATATATATATATATATTTTTTTTTTAAATTCTTTATTATTATTATTATTATATTGTTTCATTTAAACGATTTTAATTTTAATTTTTAAATATATGAAATTATGAGCAAGTGAAAATGGAGAGAGAAAATGAGTAAATAAATCAATAAACTAATAATAAAGAATAATTCATGTTTAGTTTACATTTGTGTTTTTGTTATATTTTATATTCTACAATTAATTTATTTTACTTTAATTAAACTTAGGTCTGATTTACTTTTCTATTCCTTTATTTTTTTCACTTTAAATTTATATGCCTTATATACCATTATTGCTCTTTCAATGAAATCATTTTATCATCTATTAACTATTTATTTCAATTTTTAGTACTGAAATTGATTATAGTCCTTTAAATTTATAAATTCCCAAAGAAAAATCATAATCTAAATTGAAAATGGTATATCATTACTAACGAAAAATAGTATTTGATTTTCATTTAATATATTTAATTAGAGGTAATAAAAGGAAGTAGTAGAACAAAACAAACACGAAAATGACTAATAAATTAATTTTAATTTTCTAACTAAGCTCACATGGACTACACCTAATCTACCAATATTATATTTCCATCATGTCATTATTATGCTAATTCAGGTTACCAAACACCAAATGCTTTTTACAAGGTATAATAATTAATAATATACGAGCAATCAAATATGTCAATACCAAATCACTCGTATTTGACTCTAGTGTACAGAGAAATATTCCAAAACTGTGTTATATATGAACTCCACAATTATTTAAATATACAAAATCACTCATATTTGATGATCATGTACAACATAATTCAAAACCGTATTATATATCACCTTGAGAATATTTTTTTTCAAGCTGTATTATAATGAGAAAATTAATGAACAAAACAAAAAGAAGATACATACATGCATGCATGGTGGTAGTGGGTCAATAATTAATGTTTCACTGTGTCTCTAAGTCTTGTTCAACGGCATCAAGCGTAGAAGGTTGTATCCTCCTCGACGATCTGTCTCTACTAAGAATCCTTCGAAACGAACTCAACCTTGAATTGGAGCCGTTGATTTTAGGTGAGCCATTGGCACCGTCCGAAGTGCCCTCCACGGTGTCCAAAGATAGCGGGGCGGTGGGGAAGGCGAACCCGGTGGGGCCCTCGCGCTGGACCGGTTCAAGCTGGAGGGGTTCGGCCTTGGTTCGACAAAGAGGACACGTGGAATGCAAGGCGAGCCACGTGTCGATGCAGCCGACGTGGAAGGTGTGTTTACAATTAGGAAGAAGTCTGACGTGTTCTCCGTCTCCCAGAACGCTCAAGCAGACGGCACACTCAACGGCGTCGTTTTGCAGTTTGAAGGGGAAGGTAGGGAGAGCGGTGATTAGGGCACGATCGAGTCCAGTGTTTGGTCGTTCGCCGTGAGGGTGAGCCATGTTGAGGTTGAGTTGGTATATGGCGCTTCTGCGGCGAGTTTGACGCCTCAGAAAAAACCTTGCGTAGATGTGAAGTGCAAACACCAAGACTAACACCACTGTTAGGGAAACTACGGCGGTGATTAGTATCCTCTGGTTGAAGTCCTTTTGGTTCTGGAATGTTCCGAACGGACCCTGGTCGTGATCGTCGCCGAAGTAACTCATGCTATAGTTAGCTTCAGAGAGAGAGAGAGAGAGTGTAGTTGGTGATGAATATTGAATTGAAGAATATTGTTTGGGCTGGGTATATATATGGGGTTTAGGAGGAGTTTGTTTTGTTCATGAGTAGATGTGGTTGTTGTGTGATGGAGTGAAAAAAATGATGTTTTTTTATTGGATATTTTAATTTCTTCTTCCATTGTGTACAAAAAAGTCCAAGGTCTTAACTAACAAGAAACTCCCATTTTGTCAAAGCTTTTGACTGTTCAACATTGACACTGCTTATCTCTATCCGGTAAAACCAAAACAATGGGAATGGAAGTGTAAAAAGGTTAGGTAATAGTAATTGTAAGAATGTAAAACAGCTATGACTATTTTCTCTACTAGTGTATGTTTTTGTTTTTGTTTTTTTCTTTCTTTCTTCTTTTAAGATAGTTTGTTATATATTTAATAATTTTGTATGTTATTTGTATTACAAATTAATTAATAATTTAATATATGACTTATTTAAAGAAATGTAAGTGAAGTGTAATCGATTAAACTGTTCGATCATCTTATAATGTTTTTTTAAGGGTGAGATTTCATAAATTTTGTCTTTATTATTATAAATATATTATCAATAGATAATAATAAAATTTTGAAACTGAGGCAAAGATTTCGATCTAAAATATAATAACTCATTTAAAAAAACTTAGGTTTAAGTTATAATTACTAAATAAGAAATATAGCTGTTAATAAGAAATATATCTGATTAAAATACCAAAATATTTGGAAAATCTTTTGAATGAAACTATTCTATCACATTTTTTTTTAATCTAACAAACACAATTAATTTTCTACACTTACTTCCCCTATATGCCCTGCATAGAAGTGGCTAGTTACACGTTCTCATTAATGTTTATTTCAACTCTCCCTTTCACATAATTTTACATTCAACGGCATTGAAACGCAAGTTGTCGCTAAAATCAAGCAGGGTCTATAATTGGGTTTAATATAGTTAGAATGAAATAGCTTGATGTATATTGTATATTTACCCATATAAATATTAACATTTAAATTAGGTTGCCAAATTAATAATTAGTTATCAAGAAATATATTATATATATTATTTTTTAATTACATACTTATAAAAATATATATGTAATATTTAAGTTAAAATTGAACCAGGAAACTGAATGGAGTTTGGTTTCTTCTACCTTGTGTGGAAGTTGACTGCCGCAAATTTAGAAAAAGAACAAAAAAAGCGGAAAAAGTTTGAAAAACATTTTTTAATATGAACTGAACATCGTTCATACAGAAATAAAGGAAGAAAAATAAAATAATATATAAATTAAGAAAGATTATTTTTTAAAATAATATATAAATTAAGAAAGATTATTTTTTAAAATAATATATAATTGTTGTATAATTATATAATTACGTATCGTTTTCTTTAATATAATGATGAATAAGGAAAATATTTAAACATACCTATCTTAAATTAAAGTTTGACATTTAATTTTAGAACAGAAGTATTTAAAAAAACTTATTCAGTACGTGTAGATAAGTTAATATGTAAAATATTAGGAACCCTTTTCTTACTATTTCAACGCGAAAATTCAGAGTTGTTTTGAAAAGGTTAAATCACTTTTCATAAAGGTTTTTAAGCTTTTTCTTCTTTGAATGAATAGTTTCTTCACATAGGTGGGTACACGATGGAGTTTTATTTGTGGAAGTGTGAATCCGTACACATCATTCCACGTCAGAACATTTGTGATTTCTTAGAAATTACTAGTACAATTTAAGAATATTTTTAAATATAATTATTAAAATCAAGTAATTAAATATTCCATTTGAAGAAATTGAAGTATTTGAAAACGACAAAAAAAATTTATTCCTTTTTTAAAAGATACTTTAAGTTTCGTAAATTTAACGATAATTTATTGTTTAATATTTTAATTTCTAAATTACTATTTTTTTACCTTAATTATAAATATTTCAATATCATACTTAACAGATATTAAAATTACCACAAAAGTAACTTTAAGAATACAAAGTAGATTATTTTGAAATTTACAGACAAAATAATCATTTTGAAAATTGAAAAATTTAAAATAAAATTTAAAGGTTTATATTTTCTTTGCTCAAGTTGATGCAATTTATTTCGTCATGGATTTATTTTGGATAAGGTTGCAAGTTGCTGAATGAATTTTCTTATGGGGTAGTATTAATTAAACAAATTAGACTTTTAATTAAACGAAGATTGTAGTGGAACTTTTAAACAAACGCAGTGGGAATTTCTAACGCTTTACGGAACTTCCAAATAAATTTGATGACTTTTCACTTTTTTTAGACATATTTTCCACTGGGTTTAGATATTTTGTTACACCCACTTCAATTAAAAGCATCATTTAATAAACATTAATATACACTACTCTTTATTTTCATAAATTTTTTTTAAATAAATCACTCTTTATAATATTATTTTTAACTTAGTTTTTATATAAAAGGTTACGTAATGAATTAATAAAGAACTATCATTAATATAATTTTTAATATCAAAATTATCTATTATATGCATTATTCATTATTTTTTTCTCAGTGATACAAATGTTCCCACACGTTTATGAATTTCATATTATATATATATATATATATATATATATATATATATATATATTATGTTTTCTTAATTTATTAAAGTATTCTTAGAATTATAATTTTAAAACAAATTATATCTCACACATAATAATATATCTAATTATATTATTATAATAAATTTAAGATGAGAATACTTTCGTCTCTATACGAAATATTAGCGTTTAATATAAAATTAAAGAAAAAAACTCGTTTCATTGCTAACTGAATCAGATAAATGAATCTCACATTAAAATAATTTAAATTATAATAATATTATAATTTGAATTATTTTAATTAAAAATTAATATAATTATTTAGAATAGAAAAAAAAATGTCTAAGTCTAACCAATAAAACATTTTATTGTTTGTAAGTTTTGTTTTATCCAGTCCAAAGCGTTGACAAGTATAATGTTTATGCCAGTGGAATACCCTAATTTACTTTAATGTATTAATTATGGAGTTTCAACTTTTAACACTAATTAGTGCTCCCAATGGCTTTCTACAAAATCTATTTAACTTTTTTTCTACACTAACAGAATTTTTTTATTCAAGTAATTCATCACAAAATTTATAAAAACAATTACATGTACAGTTATTACAATAAAAAAGATTGGATTTTTCAATGGATAAAATCCTGAGTAATATTTAAATAAAATCTATAAATAAATTATATTTATATACAAATATATATTCATATAAATATATAAATATAAATATATTTATATATTTTAAATATTTATTAATAATATATTTATCAATAATTAATTATTTTTTATTAATGAATATATTAGTTGATTAAATTCTATAAATATTTTAATTTTTTTATAATTTTCATCTATATTTCAACTTAATGCATATTTATTGATAACTATTTTTTAATAATAATTATAATACAAATAAAAGAAACTTATTTGGCTCACAAATATATTCAAATTTATAGCCGATAAACAATTTTAACGATATTATCATAGACATACTCGTAATATTCTATTTAACTAGGAAAACCACACTGTACCCAATCAATTTTATTTTCCCATGTCAAATTTATTTTTCATATGAAATTAAGAACTCATATGAATCAATTTTAACATATTTAATTATTATCTTACTTATAAAAACTAAACTAAGGTAAATTACGTTATGAGGTCGACTGAGTAAATACGAAACTAGGTTAATGTATAGTTATTATTTATGTAGCTCATATCAACTAGTATAATGTTTCACCAATCCTCTCTCTCTCTCTCTATATATTTATTTATTTGTTTTTTTTTCTCTTTAGTGATCACTAAATTAGAAAAAAAAATTCAAAAGCAGTTTATGGGCTACGAATAAGCATATCAACACGCAGATAACGGGCCTCAAGCCCAAACATCAGAAAAGTACTTTCATTTCCAATTTAGAGTTCCAAGGCTCCTGAGAAGGTAAAATTAAATGTGGCTCTTTGTTAGGTGTCATCTTTACTTAGAATTTAGGATGATTAATGAATATTTAAGGCATGTTTTTACTTCTTTTACTAATAAATTGTATTATTTGAATAAAAATATGCATAGATAGATAAACATTTGTTATTTGTTTATTAAAAACCATTCCTTTGATTTTTGGATCTTACGAAATTGATTTATACATTGTTTTGTAGGGTAAAAAAAAAAACACTTCAAGAGAGGAGGACTTGGACACCAGTAAAATAGCACTGAAGATGAATTATTATATAATTCATAAAACCAAAGCTTAAGCTAATTGTTCATACATTAAAAAGGTTGTTTCTTGGGGCCCTACAGAAAATTAAGAGCGAATTTAAATAAGCTAATGACCAAATTAGGTTTTAATAGTTCGTATTTAATAATTAAACCATATAGAACTAGCATTAATAATATCATAATTAAACAATATGTAGAATAATATATGATAAATATAATATCATAACTTTATAATAATAAAAACTAAAACAAAACATCATAGATTATTAACTTTCAAAACATACATAATATATCATAACATTTAAATTTAAGTTATTCTAACAAAATATAATAATGTTTATTGACAGTTGAATGATTAAATTGTACTTTAACAGGATAAAAAACTAACAATAGTAGGTACAATAATTAACACCCATATGTAATCCTTAATAAATTTATTTTTCTTATCTGATTTTATATTAAATTTTAAAATTTAAATAAATAGAAAGTTTTACAAAATTCTGGTTTAAACAAGTTTCTGCAACAAGTTTTTACTGATTTTTTCACTCGTTTTAGATTAGTTCTTCACCGATTTTGAAATTGTCTAATGTTTTATAATTAACAATTTTGTTCTGATGACAACTATAGCAGTCATAGATATAGAGCCTCTGAGGGAAAGAACCAATTAATCGAATCAACATCATGATGACAGAAAATAAGGGTATCACTCAACTTTAAAGGGAGGCCAATAACCATTGACACAATTTTCAGCAGTCAATGACACATTAATACTGGTAGGTCTGCGAATACAGATCCTCCTAAATGATCCTATCGTTTTCTATAAACCCTTTCAGCTTGAAGATGAACTGCACAGTTGACAACTTAGCACCTAAGTCCTAGTTGAGAGAGTGTTAAAGGAAATGGAAAATTTGTGCTAATTTGGTAAGAATTTATGTGAAATTTTCAGTAGTTTTTTTTTTTTTTTTTTTCCTGTCACACATTTGTCTTAGTTCATTAAACTGTTTCTGCAATGTCAACATAAGATATCTAACTACAGTATCAATCCATGGTTCTTCCAAACATAGAATAGAATATCAATATCACAGTTTCCAAGTACTCACGTCAGTCGAGTGAAGAATTTAGAAAAACATGTGCCAGCAAGTTGTTTGTCTTCTGCAGTCCTACAATCCTACATGGTAATAACTTGATGCCTCTTAAGTTCAAGTTAGCATAATTAAGATTCTAGCTAGGTAGAGCAGCATTTAAATCACAAGCCTGTGAGTCAATCCCTCACTTTTTTGGGGGTACGTGATAAACTATGATGGAAGCTACGTTAAAACCGCAGAAGCAATGCATAGCTATTTAAAGTCTGAAACCCCTACTTTCCACTTTATTTCACTTTCCTACTCTTTAACATTTCTCTAACTAAATTTCAAACAGTTTGCTTACCGAGCTCTTTAATTATACAAATAGTTTATACAATTACACTATTCATTACGCTGGCTGCCTCAGATAAGTAATAGCACTGCTGCATAAATAAGTAGCTTATACCATTTATTCCTACAAAGCTAACTATGTCATGTGCAAAATGCAAAGGAATTTAGGACATTCATGTGGCATTACTTTCATCTATCAAAGTTGCGTGCTATTATTTTATCTGACTATTCAAAATCTCATTGCGATGGTCTCTTTCTCACCCTCTATTCTATCAAAAGTCCATTTAATGGAGCCTAATGTAGCACATTAAGTGCTTATGTAGCCTATTAAATGCTTCTTAAGCATCCACACGGCAAAGCTACCTAAGCAACAAGGCACATCCTAGCAGAAAGACTAGTTTAGTGACGTACATATTTTTTAAGAACTTAAGTGATGATTAATATTTTTACGTTTGAAGCAATGTCAAAAGTTAGTAGTTTTTGCTTCCAAAGTGATAACATGTGCATTTAGGCTTGAATGTTTATGGGCAAAAGTGACTCATTGTGGTACAGGATGGTGAATTGATGGCTATGGCTTGGAGAAGATGTTAGTTTTTGGATCTTCTGCAATTGGTTCCGCTAATTTAGAGGCAGAGATTTTGTTTAGTGGTTGCTTGGGTGATATGTTGTAAGGTAGGTGAATTTGGCTTCTCTGTTTTATGTGATGTGTAGGGGAGGTATGAGTTTTGTGGTTGCTTTCATGCTACTATGTTGGCTTTGAAGATGATGACTTTATGTTTGTGTTTGCTTTTAACACGTAGGATCTTAATTGCTTTTGGGGAAAAAAGGCTAGTTTTTGGTCATACGGGTCTTTATAGCAGGATTGGGATTGTTGGTTTGTTTATTTTGTTATGTTTGGAATCTAAGTTGTTGAATTTTGTTTGGGCATGCTAGAGTTGTCTGCATTTGTAATAAGCACAAAGCAATAACCGACTCAGACATAATCATGCTAGCAAACATTTTATAACAGTGCCATAATGTCGCTTGAAACTACATTGGATTACAATTAAAGTTATGAGTTAATCTCAATTCTTTATCTTTTAAATATTCACATGTTGTCTCCAATTTCCCATTTTCATATGCAATCGTCTTAACCTTTCCCTATGCTCGGATACCATTGTAAATGTTTAGATATATAGTGTTTAGGGTTAAAACATAATAAAATCACTAAAAACTTCATCTCAAGATAGTAAATAACCTGCTACACCAAAAGTTACATATAAGATATACACAAAATACATGTATTATCCAACCAAAATTAGTGTTTGTCATATATTTTTCAACAGCAGCAGCTAAAACTTCACCCATGGTTGTACGATAATTAAAGTTGTAGTAAATTCCGCCGCTAGTTGGATTAAATAACAAGTGGTGACTTTTTTAATGAAAAAGAGACTAAACCGTTGCAAAGCGTTGAGATATAATAAATTGCTTACACGTGAATTTTATGGGAAGAAAATGGAATTAATTAACTTGCCCTATTACCAAGAGTTGATAAAAACAGCTTGCGATTGCAATGTAATAGCAATTTGTAGCCACTTCTACAATTGCGACTACATCATGAAGGTTTTTAGACTTTCTTTAACTACATAGTGACCATACTTACAATGTTATCAATGACAATTTATAAGAAATTACACTCTTGATGTTTATAGTTGAAATTGAAGCAACAACCAGAAATACAAAGCCACACGGTTGAAGAAAGTGTTTTTGAATGTTAAAGAGTTCCTTTAAATGTACTTGGAGAAAAAAAAAAAAAAAGAAGGGAAATGTCAGAAGAAAATGCTATTCTCGACATTAACGAAGCCATATAGGTTACAAACCACGAAATCCAACTTAAAGTCATATAAAATAAGCAAAGTGTCATGTAGAAATACTCCATAATACATAAATATATTTTTCATTAAAAGATATATAAAGCACCGAGGTTAATGGCTCCAATAAGGAGGGGAAAGAAAGCCATAAAAATGCTGAATCTAACCAGACAAATTGTGTAGATCATCAAAATGTTTCCATCTTAATCTTCCCACGTTTTCAAGTCTGGTAGACAATGCTCCTGCATAGCAAGATCCATGAGAAGAATTTAAAATGGAATAATAGTCAGTGGGGGCAATAACTTTGTTACTCAATTTGCAGCTTTGCATGGGAAATGATTTTGATCTGTTTTCATTCTTTCTTCCATTAAAAACAAAAGATGACATGTTAGCACAAATCACCTAAAGTGGTCCCTTTCCCCTTTCCTTTTTCCTTCTCTGATAATGTTTACCATAACTGTCCAAGAAAAGAGAAATGGATAATCAGCAAAGTACTTGATAAATAAGGAACAGTGCAGCATTGTGCAGTTCACTTTTGTGTTCAGTGATGAGAATTAGGTGATGAAGATGATGGCTTGTCGGGACCAACACCATGGCTCTCATCCTCGCCTTGAATTCTAGCAGGAATGCAGAACCCTGGCAAAGCATCAGACAGAAACCTGCTGCCAAAGATGGAGGCCTGTTGAATTGGTTGTGACTTGTGATGTTCTGAGGAAGAAGCCATGGGAATGTCACCCCAAGGACGAAGTGATGGTGGAAAACTGGACTGAAGGGTCCCCCTTTGGGAATATGCAACAGAACCACCTTGGCCTAGAAGTGCTGTTGAGTTGACCATGAACCCGGCTCTGTTCATATCTGTGCCTGCATCATTGTTCCAAGTTACAATCCTAGGGTAATTGGCTTCAAACTCCACCTGAGTTGAGCTAGAAAAGAGGGTTTGGTGATTGGAAGGGGTTTGTGTTTGGTTTGCACCTGCTTGGGACTGGCCATGAATCAGGCCAGGGTCTTGGAAGGAGTGGAGGGAAAGGCCAAGATCCTCAGTGGAGTTGTTGGTTCTTGAGATTATATCAGGAGGGTAGGTTTGAAAATTGATGGAGGAGGTGGCAGTGGTTGTGGGAAAGAAGGCTATTGCATCAGTGTCAATAGGTGAAGGAATGAAAGCTGAATGGTGGTTATCATGGTCCTCACCTAATTGCCTTTGCAGCTGAAAATTGTAACCAGAAGACTCTGATTGTTCTGTAATGGCCATGTCAGTTGACCCTGCATTGTTATGGTTGTTCTCTGCATCTCCAGTGTTGGAAGTAGGGTGCCATGGAGGAAGCTCAGCCAGCTTGTCAATGGCATTCTTGGCCTTCTTGATGAGCCAGTCCACAGCCTTGCTTGGTCTGTCATAGCCTAAACGGTCCTGAACATCGTAGAACTGAATTGCTGTGTGTGCTGAGAGCCTAACCCTGCGGTCACGAGGACCCTTTGCAGTGTAAACCTTACTGTGCCTGTCTTTTCTACCTGTGGACCGAACAATGTGCCCTCCTTGGACTTGAACAATCTCTCCCCCGGTGCTCTTCATGCCCATTCCTCAGGTTCTTTACTGTGCCTTCTGCATAGTGAGTCCCCTTTTCAATTTCACAGCTTGATGATGACAATCGACACCCACTTTAAATGATAATTCTTGTGTATACAGGCTGAGATTCAGATTCCTTTCCTCTTACACTTCTAACATGTTTCTTCTAGGTTTTGTTGAGGTTGGTACTTGGTGTGGTTGTATTGTCGTACTCTTTGGTTTTTCTTACTTCCTGACACTCCAAAATCTGGTTACTTGTTGAGCTTCATCTGCAGCTACGGAGTGTTCTGCTTCTGCCAGCTGCTGCTGATCCCAAAAAACCAAAACCTGCAATTGAAACCTCATAAGATTCCCTATCCAATAACACTAGCAAAACGGATTCAACATGCACGAAACAAATAAAAGTTAATTACTAAATACTTTCTTGGTGACTGACTCACGTGTCTGCTTAGTTATCTACACACAGCTACAAGGGAGTAAAAGGACAGAGTAAATTAGTAGATGGTTGGAGTTGGAGTGTCTTTACGTGGGCATCCCAAAAATTTTGTGAAGGGTATGCAGATTTATTTAAACTTTCAATGACTTGAAGTGGTTGTAAAGGGAGGGTAAAAACACAAACTACAATAGGACATTGAACTCTGTGACTGATCCAACTTTTGATTTTAGCTAAGGAGATGTCACATGGGGTTGCAAGAAAGAATTGAATAGGTGGATGCACAGTGAGGGAGAAAAAAAAAATGGTACCTGTGTGGCCTACGAGAGCTTGTTGATGCTTCTGCAAAGCAAAGCAGGGTGTGCTCAGAGAAGAGATTAAAGCTCTTTTGGTCGTTTTTTAACCCCACAAACGCAAACAAATGTGTGCATACTAAGGCCTTGTCACGAACCCCGACTCAAGTTCAACCAACCCCTCAACTTTCTCCTCACTAATATATACTCTCAAGCTCTTCAAGTTGTTTAATAGCTTAATAAGTCTAGATGGATGCTATGCTATGCTATGCTATGGTAGTGATGAGCTATGATTAAGGTCATGGATGATAGAGAGGTAACTCTCAATGGCCATCTCTTCTACCCACACCTTTTTAAGCCTTTTGATAATGACATCTAACAGCTTTTTTTGCCTTCTTTCCTATCTGTACTTTGCAGCTTCACTATTAAGAAATGTGTGATTTCACTAAAAGGAACAACATCCACCCTCTCCTCCACTCTGCATCCTCATTACACTTTTCTCCCAAATTAAATAATCAATGCTTCCTCAGACATTCACAACAGACCAAATTTTCCTCAACTACAACAAAGGATACAACATGCACTAACCAGCTTGCTCCTTATCAACTATTGCCAACTTTTCCCAACTTGTTCTATCAATTAATCAGCAACAAATTTAATGCTAAACTTTCTTTTGGGGGGTCGATTTTAATGCAAAACTTTAACATCCTTGCATGGTGATGCGGGCTGCTTCTGTATCCTCTTAAACAAATTTTAAAATGCTTTTTTCCTTGCACTCTCTACTTGGGTTTAACATCAATTATTTTATCTTGGATGTGTTACCATTATAATACCATTTAGTAACTTTTTATCAGCTAAAGCACACGATAAGTTTTTTTTTTTAATAAAAAATTATAGATAATCTATTGATTAAGGTGTGAATCCCTAATCTCCACTCAGAAGCCCTAACAGCATATGGGTTAGAATCATAAGAAAAAAAAATATAAAATTGTAAAGAAGAAAGGAAACGTGTGCTAGTGTGGAAGTGGGAGTGGAGATGTGATCATTCATTACAAATTAATATTGTGGGGATGGAGAAGGAATAATGCATCAGAAGAGTGCTACATGAACAAATTTTTTTTTTTTATTAGTTTTCTTCATTTTTATTTATTTATTTTGATTTTTTATTCGAAGATCATGGTGTTAGTTTCACAGTTAATATCATCTCTTGGCTTCTTCTATATGATTGTGACTAGCCGCCCAAGTCTTTTAGTAACGACACCTGTTTATATCACCAAATAAGTCCTTAAAATTATAAATTTAAACTAATTTAATCCATAAAATTTCTAAAAATATTATTTTGGTTACTAAAAGTATTTATATTATTATTTCAAAATTTAAACAATGTACTTAATACTTTCATATATTATAAATTGGCCAATACTCATAATTTTAGAAACTGATTTCATGTATTCTTCTAGTTTTACTATTGCTTTATTTGTTGTTTCACTTTCTTACAAGCTTGTTCTACTTTGGGTGTATCATAAATCTATGCTGTGATCTCATACAATATTTTAAATTGTTGTTAATGAAATCTTTGTAACCTCCTCATAGTTGCAATTTAAGAACATCACCAACATTTATCCACAATTGTTTTTAATTGTAAGATTTGGTAACTCTTAACTCCTAAACCTTGATGTAGATGTCTAGGTAATTTTTTTTAATCTCAACTATATGAAAAAAAATATAAATTCATGTTTATTAGAGCTAATTGTTCATCGAGGATATGGTAAGAATCTTGCATCTTGTGCTTAAAGTGAAACAAGACTCATAATAATAATTATTAAAAAAAAAAAAAGTTGTGTAAGGAATCTGCTAAAGAACATGAAAGCAACAGACAATGTGTGTTCTTCGTCTTCTTTTACGAACAATTGGAAGGGAAGGATGATATCAACACTTTACTTCCTTTTCGCTTTAAATATTCTTTTTTTCTCTTTAGTTTCTCCTCCGATCTCAACTTTTACTCATAAACTTACAAGACTTTCATAAAGATAGTTTAAGAATTAAAATAAATATCTGAGTTTCTAAGGACTAAAATGACAGTTTTTACACATTTAAAGATCAAATTAACTAATTGTTCCATAAATAAATTGTTTGAAAATTAAGGAAGGATTTGTATTGTAGTGATAGAAGTAATTAAAGTATACAAGAATTAGATGAAAACACAGAGAAGCAACCATAGTTTAAAACCTTAAAAGTTAATAAAACCTGTAACTCAATAATAAATGTTGCTCCATTTACAAATGGGTGTTGCATTAGGAACTGTGACACTACAGTGGTGTTTGTAATTTTGCACTATTTTGGTGTTCTTCTCTGTTATTATCATTATTGATCATAATATCTATCTTTTTATGGTCATACTTTAGGAGTTACCCTCACTTGCACGTTACTCAAATCGTTTGACCCACTCTGTAAAAATATCTTCTTCATACTTTAGACAGGGCCCTAAGAATATCGTAGGAAATTAATGTAATCAATACGTAAGAACAAGAAACCAGTTTCTACAAACTATATATTAATGTCACATTCATTAGGAAAAACCTTCAATTTGGGCTACTCTGCAAATTCTCAACTCACACACACAGAAATTTTAGATTTAATATTTTATCAATATAAATATTATTTATTGACTTAAATCTTGGTGCTACATTAAAATTAATTAACAAAAAAAGTCTAAAAAAATCATTATCAAAATTTGAAATTACATATTTAGAACGTTGACTAATGTGGACAGAAAGAAAGGCATTTGCAGATTTGGATTGTAGCACACCCAAACCAAGGTACGTGGGTATTATAAAAGCCTGCAATAGAATTCAATGTTGCCTAGATTTGCTAGAATGCCCAACTAATTTATTCAACTCCTCCATAACTATCTATCCACTTAAATTGAGATAAAAATAATATATTTTATGTATAGTTTTTTCTCTTAATCAACTTAAATAATATTATGAGGCAATAACTCATTTCATTATACTTTTACAAATAAAGTTATGATAAATCGAATAATATTTTATACATCTCACTTAATAACCTTTTTTTAAAAGTAAAATTTTAATTTTCAGACCAATAACTCATTTTAACAGTTCGTTTGAAAATATTTGAGTTTGGAATAATAATAATAATAATAATATTATTATTATTATAATACAATATGTCCAATAATTTGTTGTCATGGGTGTGTCTCCAGAGAAGCGTAGTCACATTCACGCATGCACACGCAAGTTTACAATCAATCAATTTCGCAACATGCCATGCCGGTGACGCTACTTTCCAAGCATTATTCACTTTTCTTCTGAATCCATGCTCGTTAATCTTTTACAGGACATAGATCAATAAGACTAATTAATTAGTTAACTTTTGTTTATTTTTTTAATAAAAATATTATAAATTTCTCATATTTATATTTATTATTAAAGTTTTTTTTTGTCATTATTCATTAATAAAAACACACATACACATACTCATAATATTTAATATAAAATTTAAATTATATAAAAAACCATCAAATATATTATAATAAAAGTTAGAGAAAGTATAAGCAAATGAAGAGAGAAAATTTGTTGACTCAACTGTAGTCACAATATAGAAACAAGGTTGATGATATATATGATTAAGTGGAAGGTGTTTCATGAAAATCAAGGTGCATCTTCCATTCAAGTAAATGCATTTGTTTCAATAGGGGTGTGAAAGCTCCTTCACATAAGAATGAGAGAGAGAGAGAGAGAGAGAGAGAGAGAGAGAGAGAGAGAGAGGATATTGGCTGGTGTGAGGTGATGGTGCATGCATGCTGGTAGAGACAAAAGTACAGAACAATGTGCAGTCCTAGAAAAGGACAATGGCAGTGATAGATAGAGGGTGAGGCTGAGCCTGAACTCTCCACATATTCTGAGTCTAAGTCTAAATATAAACGATATCTCTCTCGTGTGTAAAAACAATGAAATCCATCAACAGGCTCGTGATCCAAGATAACATCATTTAATATATTCATTCATTCTACTCTTCATATATCAAGCTAGGCACCGAGATAGATAGATAGGTACAGACAAATACAGTAAGTAAGAATGATCCAACATTGTTTCAATGCAATTTATGATAACACCATGCTTCACAACACGGGCCAACTCTCTCTTCTCTATGAACTTTGGGTTCCACATTCACCTAATTTATTGCTCTACTGACATGTATCTATCAAGCATCAAATGCATTCACTCACAACTCATTACGTATAAATAAATAAAATGCATTGA